TCTTACACTGCCGAGCGCCGTTTCCGTTCTGACTTGCCCAGTCTGCGCCGAGTTGCCGCGCGAAGGGAGTTGGGCGTTGGAACGCTGGTTGTCGCTGACGTTGATCGGTGAATCGGTGTGAAGGGGGTGGTTATCGCCATCTCCATCGTCCGGGGCGAACCGGATCCTGCTACCGCTGCGTCTCCCGCCATCGTCGTTGGGAGTGCGGAATGGGCGAACATGATGGGAGTTTCACAAGAAGGGTGTGAGTTGCCGCTCCGGGTTACCCAAGCTTTTTGCTGATCAGTTGCAGCCCAGCCTTTCCGCGACATCGGCCCGGGCCCGGGAGACGCGTTCGCAGATCACACAAGTAAGGCGGCATGTTCGTCGTCTTGCCCATTTTCTGCGTCGACCAAGTCTGCCACGTTCGGAATGCAGAGGCTGGCAACCGTGTGTGTTGGTGCCCGTTTATGAGCGGCCGTTGCTGTTGTTGGGGGGAATAGAGAGCCTGTTCTGGGTGAGCGTCAACTGGAATTCTATAGTAGACTGCACGCTTACCTTTTGACAGCCCCGTTCAGTGGCCCACGTCGGGCACTCGGGCAGCACGCCGCACAAGCCCCAGGTGACAGATAACGGACTGCCATCGTGCGCGCGGGGGGCGGGCCGTGTCGTGCAGAGGGGGTCGGTCGCGTTGAGGCGGGTGTTGGCGGGAATAACCAGCTTGTTGTCGCGGCGAGCCTAGACTCAAGTCAGAGCCTCCCTACAGCTTGACCTTCATTAATGTTGCTCGTTGTTGCCGCGCCAACTGGAACTGCAGGTTGGCCGTGTCGCTGACGGTCGTTCTCGGCGGGAAGTCGGTGTTGCGGGCCGTATTTGTTTGAGGGTATTGTTAGGGAGCGGAGAGAGGTGGCCGGCTGGTCATCGTAGTAGAAATGTTGTTCGGCAGCCTGGACTTGCATAGCCGGCGCGGGGCTGTCGCGTTTTTGAAAGTGTAGTGCAGAAACGGCAATGTCAGAGTCGCGTGACATGCAGAGGGGTTGCCGTTGCTGTTGTCTCCTTTGATGTTTGCCTGTTGCTCGGCCGAATGATGCTTGCACGCAGCTCTTCTTCCGTATTAGACCCGAGCTGAGCTTAATCCACAGGACAAATCATCTATGATAGCGTGGGGTAAGTTTCTTGTTTCCGTATTTGACCTACACTGACCTTAATCTGAAGGTTGTGGTTGTGGTTGTCAAAAGAAAAGATGACGTGGTGTGACATAGTGCGAAGAAGATGGGTTGCGTTCGAGGAACTGCCGCCGGCGGACGCGAACTCGGACCCGCGTCGAGAAGCCGACAGTCGCGTAGTGCCGTTGCGAAAAGCGAGCGTGTTCTTGGTGAGACTCAAGTCAGAGCCTATATACAACCCGCTGACCTTTTCGCGCATGTCGTTGCAGCAATGGAGCGTGACGGTGGCGTCGCTGCCGGTCGTTCTCGGCAGGTGCAGAGGAGCGGAAAGAGGTGGCCGGCTGGCGATCATAAATGTACTTCGGTAGCCGGCGCAGGGCTGCCGCATGGAAGCTAAGACGGCAACACGTCGGTTGTCGCCTTAGTAGACCGCCGCAGAATGGTGCAGTGCCGTTGGATAAGTAATTGTCCCTGGGCATTGGAGCCTGCAGAAAGAACATGAACGTTGGGGACAAGTGTTGCGATCAACTCCCGCCGGTCTTCCACCATATGCGGAGGCGAGATGACCGGCGCTTCCTGTCTTCGGCTTCCCATCTAATCCCTCCACGGTTCCTACGACTCCTTTGGCCCGTTTACAATCTCCTCATCCGCACGGCATTCATTTCCCTTCCCGCCTACCTTCTATGGCGCATGTACGGCTACTCTTGGGGGTACTGGCTGCGAGAGTACGAAGCAGACATCTTCTGGCCGGCGTTTCCCATTCCTAGGATCCGCCTCGTGCTGCTCATGTTTGTGGTCCCAAGTTGGGGTGCAGCCATGGTGCTTGGCGTGTTGTTGTGGGCGGCATTGCAACGCTTCACTCAGAGGAAACGCCAATACGACTCGTTAATACCTCTAGAGCGTCGGGAAAGGCCGCGCAAATCAACGCAGACCACGTTCCTCTCCCCATTGTCGAAAAAATTCCTCATGCTCTATGTGGGCCTTGCGCTCAGCGGAGCCTTCCTCTACTTGACCCACGAATACTCCTCGGACTATCGGTATAGGTCGGTGGTGGAGGCAGCGAACCGCGTGAAGAGGCCAAAGGGTTACGGCGACGGCAGTGAGTTCCGCGTGCTTTTCTGTGCCCCACTTACGGACTTGAAGCCAAGGTGTTTATCGCAGCCATGTTCAACAACAACATCGCCATTATGCCTTACTGGATTCGGGAGTTTACAAAAGTTATCCATTATCTGGGCACTGTGAGTACTGGTCGTGGTAGCTGTGGAGATGCTCATGAATATAGGACAATGTGTTCGTTTCCGTCGTCGAATCCAACAGCTGGGATGGGACAGCAGAAATCCTAGACGAGTGGAAGGGAACCCTTGATGAACTTGGTGTCAAGCACTTGATTCGCACTCGGGACAAAACGATAGAGCGACCAGCCGACATGTCGACTGCAAATCCACGAATAGAGTTTCTTGCAGCAACGCGCAATCTTGCCTTGGCCCCGCTTGTCGAGACCGGAGGCTATGATCTCGTTTTGTTCAGCAACGACGTTTTTGTCGAGGCCGACGCGGTTGTGGAGTTGCTGAAGACAAACCACGGCAAATGGGACATGGTCTGTGGAATTGACCTACATCGTTGGGGGTGAGTTTTCTTATGCCCTTTGGATGCTATTCACCAATTTCTAGGATGTATGACGCTTGGGTTTTGCGGGACCGCGTGGGCAACTTGGTTTCTTCTCTATGGCCATATTTCCTCGACAAGGAGGATCAGCAGGCCGTGATCAAGGACGAGCCAGCTCCGGTCTTTGCTTGCTGGAACGGGATTGTCGCGTTTACTCCGGAACCTTTCCTCCCCATCTCCCTCCGAACTCCGGGTCGGCTTTCTACAGTGCATCTCTCAACACCTCTTCCCTCCACCCATCCCAGCTATCCACAGTCACCGGCTCTTACCCCCGCTAGAACGCCCCCGCTCCAGTTCCGGCGCTCGACAGACAAAGAGTGTTTTTCTGCCGAAGCGTTCAACCTTCCCTACGATCTCAGACGGCAATTCGACTTGCAGAGAATATACCTCAACCCACGCGTCATCAACAGCTACGAAGCCAAATGGTATCGCTGGTACAAGCGCATTACGCGACACTGGCTTGTGCGGTGGTGGATGATCCACGTTGAGAGGGCTCGGGGAATCGAGGACGCGAAGATGATCATTGGCAATAAGGAAAATGTGTGGACATGGGATGGCGGCGAGTGTCAACCGGTGAGTGTACTTCTCCGTCCTAGCGTCAGCTAACCGAATGATTCAGTGGCGATAAATAATGTTGTCTGTACCTCTAAAAGCCATGTAATGAAGGAGTTGGCAGCGTTTCGGTCGATTCTGGTCTTTGTTTTACTATCTACATCAAGCCTTAGTCCTCTCTACCCAAATCCCAGTCTTCGTGAATCTGTTTGATGGTCGTTTCCTTCAACGTAGCGAGCTGCACTGTGTTTTTATGCCTGCGGGCGTAACAATGCCAAAAGGCGCACCTTTCCGATGAGAATCTAGGACACTGAGTAACGATACGGAAAATGTGGTATTGCGCACCTGAGTCGCGTCTTTGGCCTCGTTATACTTGTGCAACAGCTTTATATGGCGCTTCACAATCAGATCTGCGTCCATGCCCTCACTAGAGCGTCTGTTTTAGCTCTAACCCACGCACTGGGGCTGGGAAAAACCTACCCCAACTGCTTTTCCAGCGCGTCAATCTCAGCTTCAAGCGCGGCCTGACGCGCTGCTTGTTTCTTCGAGGGTGTTGGAGCAGTAAATCGCGTGGATTTGGCTTACCTCTGCAGAAATTGGCGCGTACATGATGACTGGCAGAAGCAAGACGCGTTATTATGTACTATTTACATCAGACTGGGACGCGGTCACGTTGCTACCTCCAATCCTCGACAGTGTTTCCCGACAACATCTGGAAGCTGACGTTCTCTTTTCCCGGCCTGCGCAAGTTCTTGAACATCGCTTTGACACTGCCTATGCGCTTCAGCGGGGCCGCCTTGGTCGTCGACTTTTCTGGCGGGCTGACGGGAGCAAACAGATTGGGGAAGAGGTTGTCACGGGAGTCGTAGGAAAGCGGTATGGCAGAGCCAGCGACAGGCACAAGCTTAGGGTTGTTGAAGACGGCGAGGTTGATGGAGGGAGACGCAAAGCGGATGTTGTGTGTGTCATACCGAGGGTGGTTGCGCGGGAGTGTGGCAGAAGGAACAGCGAGTCGGTCCATGTCTTTCTTCTCAGAGGGAGCTAGCTGATTACAGCGTGAGTAACGACCCAATGTCAACACAGCAGATAACGCACCGGGAACGGCTCGACTTGCCACTGACCCGAAGATGCTGTTGGTAGTTTGTATACGCTAGCGAGCTGGTTTTGCTTGTTAATGGACATCGTGTGGTAGGCGCTGTAGGCGATATACGCGAATACGCAGATAGTGGAGAGAGCCACGAATCCCAAAGCGAGGTAGGCTGGAAATGATAGGCCTCGAAGTGTTCCGACGAGGTAGGTAGGGTGAGTTGATGCGGGAGGACTTGGATCGTCGACAAAAGGCATGGCTCCTTCGCTGCTTGAGGCTCAGGCCACGGCGTGAAGTGAAAAAGTAGTTGAGGGTCGGTTGGGGGCGAGAGAAAGCGAGTCGCACGTGATTTTGGCATTTTGGCAACCTCCAGCTTGACATCAACCAAACTTCCAAAAATCGACCTACCAGAGTAGCCCTTCAAGCCCCTTGGTCCTGATACTACCCTGCATCGACTCGGGCAACTAATATGTGTCCTGGATGACAAGCATCTCCGAAAGTTGAATGGTTGATCGCAGTAAATCGCAGTTTGGCACTTGATTTCGACTTTCATGGGCCTTGGTATTCGTGGGGCCATCGTGCTTGCTCTAGGGCTCGGGAAATGGTCTGATGCTCACGCATGCAAGTCCACGACTGCAGAAACTGACGTATTCTCATGGGAAAATGTATGTCGCCGCGTTTCTGGTTTTGAGCAATTTCTGAGCGCCTCTCGAAGATTCAACCCTCTGAGGACCTTGTTTGGATAAAGTGTTATGGCGATAAGCACTGCGCTCGACTAGAAGTAGGTCGTACTGACACTGGCTGACCGCATACTCAGATTGCTAGGTCCCTTTGGATTACTCCAACCCCAATAGCGGTTCGGCAGCTATCGCCATGGTCCGCCTACACTCCGGCATTTCTCACGAAGACCCTCAATATCATGGCCCGATATTGATCAATCCTGGCGGGCCTGGTGGCTCGGGAGTAGACTTCGCGCTCAGCTGGGGAAGCAAAATCCATACTGTAGTTGGGCCCGAGTTCGACATCATAGGATTCGATCCGCGAGGTCTGAATCTCCCCCCCCTTTTCCATCCAATCCCTTTTACTCAAGTGCTCTCTAGGTATCGCACGGTCGACTCCTCGTGCAAGTTTCTTCTCCAGCCGCGCTGAAAGGGCAATCTTCAATTCTGGTGGTGGTCTTTCTCCGAATGCGTCGGCGGATACCCTCTCTCGAATCTGGGCTCAAGGCACCCTTCTTGGAGAACTTGCCAGCGCAAATGACGACGGAAACTTGAAGTTTATCAATACTGATAATACTGCCCGTGACATGCTGCGTATTGTGCAAAAACACGGTAGCGATAAGTTGTTATACTGGGGATTCTCGTAAGCAAAATAAAACATGATTTTTTTTCCCCATCTTGACCTGTTCTGCAGGTACGGCAGTGTTTTGGGAGCCACGTTTGCCGCAATGTTTCCTGTGAATAATGCTCCGACTCCTTATCAGCTCTGTTGAACCCTGATTCGTAGGATAATGTGGGGCGGCTGATCATCGACGGTGTCGTTGATTCGGAGGACTACTACGCAAGTATGTCGCCGATTTGCCAACCTAGCATCCCTACTGACCGTTTCCAGCCAAATGGTCCAACAGTCTAAAGGACACCGACAAAGTTCTTAGTTTGTTTGCGGCTGGATGTGTAAAGGCGGGTCAAACGGGTTGCCCATTCTACGCTAGCAGTGCTGAACAGATCCTCGCCAACATCGACTCCTTGGCATTGGCTCTTCGCTCCAAACCAATTCCAGTTCGCGCATCTTTGTCGCATGGGCTGATCGACTTCTCCCTCTTCCGCGCCACAGTCTTCAAGGCTCTCTACTCTCCTTACGCTCAATTCCGGCCACTCGCCCAAGCGCTGGCGGAGTTGACAAACGGAAACGCATCGGCATTTTGGGAGCTTTCTGCTTTATCGCGGGGGGACACGCCGTTCCAGTGTGGTTGCAATCCATCAGAGTACCTGTTTGAGTCGCTGGCCGAGAGCAGATGGGCCGTCTTGTGCAATGACGGGGCGCGAATTCCGTCCGACTACGATGCCTGGGAAACGTACTACCTCGCACTGAGCAAGACTTCGAGCTTTGCGGATCAGTGGACTATTGCCCGAATGGGGTGCTTGTAAGTCATGAGAATGATTGACATGGCTTAGCGTTTATCTCGTGTACTAGAGCATGGCCAGAATTCCCAAAGACCAATTTCCGTGGCCCTTTTGTCGCCAACACGAGTTTCCCGCTGCTGCTCATTGGAAATACTGCTGGTGAGCAATGCTTATTTCTTGCTCTCTGTTTTGAACTTGATTAGATCCTGTAACGCCTCTTTGGTCGCGAGTCTTCCTTGATTTCATGTTTATCTGATTCAGAGCAGTTCATAGAGCACGTAAGATGTCCCAAGGGTTTGGAGGTTCAGTTGTTTTGACCCAAAATTCGGCTGGGGTACGTGATTTGCCGTTCTTCGGTCCCAGTCTTCTTACTCTGACCAGCACTGCTCCCTCTCTGGACCCTCCATTTGCACCCAGAAAGCTGTTCGTGCTTACTTCGTTGATGGAGAGCTGCCTAAGGGGGGAACGATTTGCCCCGTTGATAGCCAGCCTTTTGATAAGCCTGCACTCGGGGGAGACGACGCCAACCAGGCGGTGTTTCGTGTAGTGGAGGACCAGTTGTTGTACAACAATGCCCGTGAACTGGCGATGAGCTTTCAGGTCCATATGTTCTGAATATACGTCTGTCAACGCTGCAATGTCAGTCGTAGTTGATCTTTGGGAGATCGCGAAGTCCAACACGTCCAAAAGTATGGTCACCACATCTAATGGCTATCGTACACAGACTGGCGTGAATCTTGCGCTGAGATGAGTAACGGGAAATCACGAATCGGGCCCGTAGACGCTCTTGACATACAACTCCAACCATGACTGCGTGAATGCGGAAAACGGTATAAATACTGGGGGCATATTTGCCGTAAATCGCAGTCCCCAGCACCGGTGAGTGGCTCTATATGCGGTGGACTGCGGGCTGACGGAAAGCTGCTCAAAGTGACGCTCGACATCACAGCCTCCATCAACTCACTCTTCTTCCTCCTTCCACCACCCTCTTAACGACCCTTTTTTCTGAACTACGACAATGGAGGACGAAGTCGCCGCGCTCGTGTTGGACAATGGATCTGGTGTGTAGTTTCGTCCAATGGAAGAGGGAAATATTGATGATGGGCTGCGATTAGGAATGTGCAAAGCTGGCTTCGCTGGCGACGATGCCCCCCGCGCGGTCTTCCCCTCCATCGTTGGTCGTCCCCGACACCAGGGTGTGATGGTCGGAATGGGCCAGAAGGATTCATATGTCGGGTATGTCTTTCCAGTCGTTTCTCTTGAGGGGTCCCATTGCTGACGAATGGCCCAGCGACGAGGCCCAGTCGAAGCGTGGTATTCTTACGCTCAAGTACCCCATTGAGCACGGTATTGTGACCAACTGGGACGATATGGAGAAGATTTGGCACCACACCTTCTACAACGAGCTTCGTGTCGCCCCCGAAGAACACCCTGTTCTCCTTACTGAGGCCCCACTCAACCCTAAAGTCAACAGGGAGAAGATGACCCAGATCATGTTCGAGACATTCAATGTCCCTGCCTTCTACGTCTCTATCCAGGCCGTCCTCTCCCTATACGCCTCTGGTCGTACCACTGGTATCGTCCTCGACTCTGGTGATGGTGTTTCCCATACCGTCCCTATCTACGAGGGTTTCTCCCTTCCCCACGCCATTCTCCGTCTCGACCTTGCTGGCCGTGACCTCACCGAGTTCCTCATCAAGAATCTGACCGAGCGTGGCTACCCATTCACGACCACCGCCGAGCGTGAAATTGTCCGTGACATCAAGGAGAAGCTCTGCTATGTCGCGCTCGACTTCGAGCAGGAGTTGCAGACAGCGGCCCAGTCGTCGGCGCTCGAAAAGAGCTACGAGTTACCTGATGGACAGGTCATCACCATCGGCAATGAGCGTTTCCGTGCACCAGAGGCACTGTTCCAGCCTGCCTTCCTCGGCTTGGAGGCTGCGGGTATCCATGAGACAACGTGAGTCATCTTGGGCGCCATATTCAATCGTTTTATTAACCCTACAAAACAGCTACAACTCCATCTTCAAATGCGACCTCGATATTCGTCGTGATCTCTACGGCAACGTTGTCCTTTCTGGCGGAACGACTATGTTCCCCGGTATCGCCGACCGCATGCAAAAGGAGCTCACTTCCCTCTCGCCCGCCAGCATGAAAGTGAAGATCGTTGCCCCGCCGGAGCGCAAATACTCTGTCTGGATTGGTGGCTCTATCTTGGCGTCGCTTTCGACCTTCCAGAACCTCTGGTGCAGCAAACAGGAGTACGACGAGTCGGGCCCGGGCATTGTCCACCGAAGTCAGTGTTCTTTTTTCTTCCTCTTGTTGCTGTCGCTGATGCCGCCTCTTAGAGTGCTTCTAAGCAAATACATCAAAAGTCTGGCGCTTGCGCACACGGAGGCTAATGTGTATTTGTACTTTCATGGTAATAGAAAGCGACAGAATTTGTTTTACGACTTGAATGCATCTCGTTCTCCTTTTTCGTAACAAAAAAAATGCATTTGAATCTACTTTATTTGGACTTGGTATTATCTTCCGGTTGTTCCATGCTCATTGCAATGGCTCGGGCAATGGCGGCCTCCTCGTCATCATCATCTTCGTCCATCGCATCTCCAGCTCCCGTCGTTGTAGAAGCTGTAGCTGTAGTCGGCGGTGGCGGTGCATCCATATCGACATCGCCGTCTTGCTGCGACAGAGCCAATGCCTGCTTCAATAACGCGTCTTCCTCGCTGTCTGTTGGGTCAGCCGGCGCCGTTGTCGAAGAAGAAGAAGTGGCGGCTTCAGCAGCATCACGTGCGGCAGCCTCTTGCATTGAAAGGCGAAGGGCCATGGCCAGCTCGGGATCGAGACTAGGGTCAACGCCAAACTCGAATTGCGAGTTGTTGTTGTTCGCGCCACCAGAGCCACCAGCGCCGTCACCTGCTCCCCCGGGGACAAGATCGTCCGGAATGCTGGCCATACGATCGGCCGCCAGAATGGGCGACGAGATGAGCGCGTCGGAGAGAAGCACGGAAGTGCTGGGAGGCACAATTATCATGTGTCTGGCCACGCTCACTTAGAAAAACTATCAAGAGGAAAAAAAACCACGCACGAGTTGTCGCCGCTGTTTGTGTTCTCTATGAAGGCTTTCAGGACCGTCTTCTTGCTCCCGTCCTCCGCGGTAAACTCCTCCTGCTCGATCCCATCACCGTAGCAGACGATGTCGACCGCAACGTTGTTTTTCTTCAGTTTCTTGGCCAGCCGTATCATGCCCTTGTCATCTGCGCCAGCACCCGTTAGCGGAGATGCGACGAACACAATGATTCGTTGTCGCAAGTTCTTATTTGAGCGGTGCTTTAAAGCCAATTGCGCGACCGCAAGCGCGGTCGGGATGTCGACTTCGCCGCCAATTTTCGAGGTCGTAGCATGTAAAGCGGAAAGGATGTGTCCGATCTCTTTTGTGTGTGTAACGAGCACTTCGGGCCTGGATACGAGATGTGAGCGGCACCCATAATGGGGCAGGCCAAAACGCACCCTTTGCCAGCCATGGTCATGATGCCCACTGTGTTCTCCGGGTTCGTGTCGATCTTGGTCTGCACAACGGTCGTCACCGCGTCAGACTGCGCGTCAAACCGTGTTGGCTGGTAGTCCCCATTCCGCATGTACTCCGAGTTGTCTATAATCATCATCGTGGCCTCGAGCGGCATGGTGGGCGGAGATTGAGAAGCTGAAAGCAGGGTTAGAGACATCAAGGGCTAGAAGAGGTCATACCTTTGGAAACTGCGACGCGGCCTGAAAGATGGAGTGAAAGGAAGGTGACGCGTCGCCAGAGGTCACACAGTCACCTGCTGGCATCGTGGGAATCAGGCCACCGCCGACGACCCAAAAAGGCAATTTTATCCTATAATTGGAAAGTGAATACTACAGGACAGTCTGATTACAGTCTCTGTGCAGTATAGCTAGGGATGTTCGTTTCGACTCGGTATGTTCAATCCTATCTCATATTTCATAGTCTTCCCATATTGGCTAAACAATCAGAACAATTTTTCATTTTATCAATAATTTGCCTTCGTTCTCGCAATTTCTGGGATCAAGACCATAATTTGTAGTTGTAACTGAGTAGATCGCCATGACTGAGACGCTAAAGATATTTGCGGACAACTTTCGAGTTTTTTCAGGAGCAAATGAGCCAGGCATGACTCGTATTCCATGCGTATCAGGTGATTCAAGAAGAGGAAAATGCCAGCATCGACAAGAGCTTGCACACCTTCAGTTGAGTCTGCCATGTTGTTGAGGAGACGAAGATACTTTGTCCTAAAAGCGGGCATTTTTGCCGTTCCGCTGATAAGATGTCAGTAAGTGGAAGACATAGAGGAGTAGAAAATTAAAACCCGACCATAGATATATAAGCCGTGAGCACACACCCTCCTGCATGGCAACCTTCAAGTCGAAATTCTCCGGGTTCATTCTCTTCACCAGTTGTTGAATTTTGACACGCATGGGCTCGTAAGGTGAGCTGTGTTTCTACAATGCAAGAGTTGACCGCTTGAACCCTGGCTTGGACATCCACACCGTACCTTGAATGAGATGAACCAAATCTTCTCTTGCCTTCGACGAAAAGGTATCTCTGGGATGTCTTCATACCGCGATCCAAGCGGGAGGATTGGTGGTATATAGTCTGGGGTATCTGAGCAAGACAATGAGTAAGCACATAGTACTCTCGAGAGAAGATAAACTCACCCATACTAAGCATTAGTGCCTCTGTCTTGCTCCGTATTTGCCATTGTGTTAGGGCCGTTACTGCATTTCGCACAGCGGAGACGCCGAGTGCACCGAGAAGGAGGCAGAGTATCGAGGACCAAAAGAGAGTGTTAAACAGCAAGAAGCGTGCTTCCCGCGTTCCAAGAATCCATTGAGAGAGACGGAGTCCCCCATAAGCAATACCCCCAATTGTGCCGCTAATGAAGATTGTTGCGATGATGCCGATCAGTCGGCTATACATGAGAAGGCCATTCCTCCTTTCCTCGTAGTGGAGAAATCGAAAAACCAGTCCAGTAGAAGACGGGTCATGGAGCAACCAGGTCTTCTCGTGGACCATTTTGCGGCGAGTGTCCAGCGTGAGTCCCTCGCTCACTGGAATTAAGTACTCTTCAAGGGGAAAGCATGTTGCAAGGATGGGGAACGAGTAGTGTCGCAAGGAGATAATATGGAACAGAAGCCGCGAGTACCAGAAACAGTTGCTGGACGCGATGCTATAGTTCGGGCTTTGAGAAGAAAGAAGCTCAAGATAGTAGGTGAGGTCGCGAAGGCGTAGTGGAGGACCACGACGGTGCTCATCGAGGACATCGGAGAAGGCACGATGAAAGTATAAGGGCGCTAGTATTAAAAGTCAATCTGAGTATCATTTTTACTGAGCAAGTCATAATTACATGCTGCATCTTCCTTGGGCCACACGAAGCTCAAATGGGAGATGAGGGCAAAGAATAGGGTATGGTTGTGAATGTATTTCGACTCCCAAGCTTGCGAGGCGGAAACACGTCTAATCGTTGCAGTATCTGACGCAAGAGGCGAAAAGCTTGGGAAATGCTTGCCCAGCCGTTCGAGCTTGATGTCATAATAGAGCTCAGCCAAATGGTCTACTGATTGACGACGTAGTCGGAGAAGAACAAACTGGTGGCGGAGGACTGTATCGCTCTCAGCCCACCAAGCCACGTCGGTGACAACGCCATTTTGCATTGACATAGAAGCTGTGCGACTCCAGGCGCACAAGTATTTGATTGGTATTTCGCCGTCTGGAAGGTCGGTGAAGTTGGAATTCGTTTCTGGATAGTTCATTTGCCGTTGAGGGTAAGCACCAAACTCCACCTGTCAGTTTAGTGACGGTCAGTCCATGGACAGCTTTCCAATGAACATCATGTTGTCCTTGATGTTGTCTGTCTTCAACTCAAGTTCTGACAGGAGAGTTCGTTTGAAGCAACATATCGTGGCCATCTGATCGCAAATCAACACTCTTCTCTTCAAACTTCTGCGCCAGCTTGGGGCAGATGCCTACCCTTCAAGCTCAATTGAAGTCGCGATGAACCTGAAAGGCTTTATAGCCTCCCTCGTCTGGCTCCGAGTGGCTGCAACTGCCTATGCAAGCCCGCATTTCGTGTGGAACCAGGTAAGCCCAGTTCAAATATCTAATGCTTCGACTGCTCTAACACAACTCTAACACTCCTAGATCACACCATCTGAAGACCTTGTATGGACGAAATGTTACGGGGATAGAGAGTGCGGCAGACTCAAAGTACCGATGGACTACTCTAAACCGGATCACGGTTTCGCGAGCATTGCCCTCATTCGAGTACGCTCAAAAGTGCCACACGACTCTCCTCACTACCGTGGTCCTGTTCTCATCAACCCCGGCGGGCCAGGTGGCTCTGGAGTCGACACGGTGCGGCGGAACGGAGACCTGTTATCGCTCATTCTTGGCCCGGAATTCGATGTGGTCGGGTTCGACCCACGCGGAATTGCCCGTTCTACACCAAGCGTGTCGTTCTTCGCCAGTCAGGAAGAACGTGCGCTTCTATTCTCCGAAGTTGGATATGACTCATTGAATGCGACGTCTGCATCGCTGGCAAGAGCGTGGTCATATGGGTCACTCGTTGGGCAATTGGCTGGGGAGCGGAATCAGAATGGAACTCTGCAATTCATGACCACCGACCACACTGCGAGGGACATGCTCCGGATCGTTGAAGCCCATGGTAGAAAGAAACTTCAGTATTGGGGTTTCTCGTATGGAAGTGTCCTCGGCTCGACATTTGCTGCCATGTTCCCTGTGTGTTTTTTTCTCTTTCCATTATCTCAAAAGCTGACCGATGTGCTAGGACAGAGTGGAAAGGCTAGTTATTGACGGTGTCGCTGACGTAGAAAATTACTTCGAAGGTCCGTTATCATCCCTATTTCACCCAATCTATTCCTCAGTTTTCGAAACAGTCGACTGGTCAGTTTTCCTCACCGACGCCGACGCTGCTTGGCAATCGTTCGCCGCCAACTGTGTTGCAGCGGGTCCATCGTCCTGTGCCTTTTACGCCCCCACTGCAACGGAGCTCCTTTCCAATGTCGATGTCATTTACCAGCAACTTCGTGTCCGGCCAATACCCGTCCGTGGCTTAAACCGCTACGGCATTGTAACCTTTTCAATGCTGCGAACTGTTATATTCCAGGCTCTTTACTCGCCTTATGCCCTGTTTCGACCGTTGGCAAATGCGCTTGCAGGGCTAGCAAAGGGGGACGGGTCGCTCTTGTTCGAGCTTGCCAGCAAGTCGATGCCCAAACCTTTCGGGTGCTCTTGCGATAGCGAGATAGAGCGAGAGAACTCGCAGGAGGGACTTTGGGCGGTGCTTTGTAATGACGGAAAACGTATCTCGCCGGATTACAATGACATGGAACGACACTATCGAGACATGCTTACCGTATCGCAGTTTGCCGACCAGTGGGAGGTGCTTCGGACAGGGTGTTTGTATGCCTTTTTCTACTCTGGGGCGGAAGATGCTTATTGTATTGCATAGAGCTTGGCCGGAGTACCCCAAGAATCATTTCCAGGGTCCATTCGTGGCGAACACCAGTTTCCCTTTACTCATTGTCGGGAATACTCTTGGTGGGTTCATTGACAAATCCGTTCCTCGACTAAAACTCCTGCTCGTAGATCCTGTCACTCCTCTGTGGGCGTAAGTTCATCCATTGAAAGGTTGTTCTATCTGAATCGGGCATTTAGAGCGAAGAAGATGTCTAAGGGCTTCAGCGGCTCTGTTGTCTTGACACAAAACTTTGTCGGGGTGCGCTTCTTCCTCCATTAGGTCCCAAAACTGACCTCCTGCCTAGCATTGCTCTGTCTCAGCGCCCTCTCTCTGCACCCAGAAGCACATCCGTGCCTACTTCAGAGACGGGAAGCTACCAGAACTGGACACAGCGTGTGATATCAATGCAGAGATGTTTCCCGCGACCCACAGCGGTGCGACTACCAGCAGCCAGTCACCATTCTCTGTTGGAGCCCTCTCAGCGAAGGATGAAGAGTTACTTGGCGCTCTGAATGAGCTGGCGCTCGACCCGCGGAACGGTTTAGTGAAGTTTCCGCTGTAATATTCAGAGTAGGAGGAGAAGACTTGTTATTCTTATAACTGCTGTAAACAAACAAACAAACGAAAATAAGGTCACGTGCTATTAACTTCTGATCAACTACCACTCCCATGAGCACGATCGTTTTTCTGGGAGCACCACCTGCAGCTGATGTCCACCGACCGTTGGAGGATTATGAATGGCGAACTGCATCGTCTACTGCTGTAAACCCCTCAAAGTCAACAGTGACTCGACAACACTCTATGTATCTGACGCAACAACTCGATGGGCTTCCTCCTGCGACACTCGAAGCTGTCAGCAGGAGAATTTCTCTAGTATATCAGAATGTTATATTCAACGATGCAGACGAAGATGACAGAGAAGACGACAAATCAGGTTCGTGTTCTTCTGCGAGCGCAAGTGCCGCGACTGAACTACTGCCAGTGATTGCAGAGACATTCATAACGTGGCCACCAACGGTCCTGGGCCCTTATGGGTCTCAAAGCCAGAGCGGAGACGAAACTCATGCCCCGGGTCCTATACCTTCGTTTTTGGATGTGTCCAAGTCGATAGCGCCGGTCTTGGAATCCCAGTTTGAGACACAAATGGAAGAATCTCAGTCATACGACCACTCTGGGGGAGACTCTATCGCGCGTTTCCCCGAGTTCCATTTTTCGCTCAATGCACTCACTTCTTTGTCTGCGTTGGCAAAGGCAAACGGCAAAGGGAGCAACGTCAAGGTGTCGATGTTATTGGCGGTTCTGGAGGTTGACGGACCAGATACGTTTCGCTTCAAGAAGGGAAAGGATGCAGGCAAGGAGTCGTTTGTGCTAAAGATGATCTTGGGTGATGAGGAGGGAAATGTCTGCAAGCTGACGGCATGGAGGGAGGTAGCAGAAGACTGGGGTGGGTGTGGTTCTGACATCGGTGCGAAACGAGGAGATGTTCTTCTGCTGACTGGTCAGTCCTGGTTTTTCCCCGTTTATCTCGGGGAACGTTCAATGGTTTACGAAGATATCATGGCGACATACGAGCAGAGCGCTGCTGTAACGCTGACAGCCTCTCCATGGCATAAACCAAAGCTTGAGATTTGTTATCGGACCATGCCCTATTTACATGAAGACCACCGACTTCGGCCAGATCTGCGATTGGGCGCGAGTGACGCTTGTGTACGAAAAGTCGCTGCGGTGGTTACATGGTTCGAGAATATGGCTGGGCTGCCCGCGCAATGACTTGTGATCAAAAATTCAAGCTTGAATTTTTGCCCTTCTCCCTACTTGGTCATTTGTTGATTGTCAGCTATCGTCGGCTCAATTTCCTAAAAAGGCTGGCAGGTCGACCTCATCACCACGCGTGTGCGGATCGGTCTGATCTGCCACCTCTTGACCATCTTGCCGATTGTCACCTTCTACCGTAACCAAACCGTAACAGCACGGGTTCCCACCTATACGCGCGGAAGACTCGCTCAGGTATATATACCTCGCTCAGCTTCCATGCTGCTCAAAGCCGACTTCCCGGTGGCCGTCGATGGAAGTGCCCCCCGGCATCAAGTATCTCGCAAGGACATTACCGGTTGCGCTTTTGCCTTGCGCTCTCGCATTTGCCAGTCTTTTGCGTGTCGACTTACCTCTCGGGGCTCGCATTCTCCTCTCCCTCCTCGCCAACCCGCTCAGCCTATTCGTCTCCGATTGGTATCAACAAGTTCATGAAGCCCGACATGCAAGCTCTCGTGGCGCAGAGCTGATTCCGGTCGTCCGCGACTCTCGTCCATTCGGGCTGGGCACGTTGGCGAAGCTGAGGGAAAGCTTTAGGTCAGGGTATCCTGGTATGTCGCCCGAGCCGCCCGATTCTTAACTAAGGCCACGTATCGGAAGGCGATTTCATAGAGGATTGGCGTGAAGAATATGGTCATACATTCATGACCAAAATCTTCTTCGATCGAGTGGTATGTTGGGGGCAATGGATTCGGGGTCTTCAAGTGGCTTAGTTTGCGGCAGATAACTACCACTGAGCCGGGTCATGTCAAAGCTATTTTGGCCACAGATTTCGACAACTTTTGGAAGGGACCGCAGGAAGCGCAGATGAGCCAGTCGCTTCTTGGCTATGGTACGCGATTATGGACCAACTAATGCCGGTGCTGAAACTCCACCAGGTATTTTCAATACCGATGGTATGTTACCGGCTTGGCCTCATGTCTGGAGTCTGACACCCACAAGACGAGCTGTGGAAATTCCATCGGAGCATTACTCGCCCTTTTTTCAGTCGAGGTGAGTAGCGCATGCCCCCCCATTTTGTCGTGTTCTAACACGCTCCTCACAAGAACGAATCAGCGATTTCGACATTTTTAACCACCACTCCCTCGCTGCGCTTGAACTCCTCAAGACCCGTTTGGCCAACGGCTATGCAGTCGACTTTCAGGATCTCGTCTCCCGATTTACCCTCGACTCCGCCACCTCCTACCTATTCGGCAAATCCATCGACTCCATGTCCGCCGGTTTGCCGTACCCATTCTCGTCCCCACTTGCCGACTCGGAAGCTTTTGTTAACCACCCTTCTACGACTTATGTCCGCTCTTTCGTACAGAGCCAGCTGATGACACTGGAGCGTGCGGCGCTGCAAAAGCGATGGCCGTTATTTGAATTCTGGAAGGACCGCATCAAGCCTCATCGGAAGGTCGTTGACGAGTTCATCGAGCCGATTTTAAATGAGGCATTAGAGAAGAAGCGACAGAAGAAAGAGACGGCCGCAGAGGGAAAAACAGTTGAAGAGGGTGGGGAGGAGGAAACATTTTTGAGCCATTTGGTGGAAGCAACGGACAGTGCGTCTTTCATTGCGTTAGTCACTGGTTTGATTCCTCACAGCTTTTATAGATAAAGAGATCATTCGTGACTCGATTTTCAACATTTTAATCGCCGGCAGAGACACGGTAAGCAGAGCATTCGACCACATTTGACTAACTGAAGCTCGTCCAGACGGCCGCAACGCTAACGTTTGCCATCTATATGCTTGCCGAACACCGGGAGATACTCGCTAAACTCCGAGCCGAGATCACTGAGGTCATCGGAAGCTCCCGAATGCCGACATACGAAGATTTCCGCCACATGAAATATTTACGGGCATTCTTGAACGAGACTTTACGCTTATATCCGCCGGTGTACGTTGTCTACGCCACCAATTTGCCGAGTTAATAACGACTCCCAACAGTCCGTTTGATTCACGGTTTGTCCCACCTTTTAGCTCTAGAACGCGATTTCTTATTAGCCACTCACAGCGCATCGAAGCAGGCGACAGTGTTCAATGCTACACGACCTGGGGAAAAGACACTCTTCGTTCCAGCGAAAACTAGGTAAGCATTGCCAACGCACGATGTGAATCAAGATTTACTCGCCCACAGAGTGCGCTATAGTGTTTTTGTCATGCACCGCCGCACCGACCTTTGGGGACCAGATGGTGTGTTTCCAGATAGTCTAGCCTTGGATTGTTCTTGAACGGTTGAGTAGCGCTCCAATTTGATCCTGATCGGTTCTTGGACGAACGAGTGAGGAAATACTTGACGCCAAACCCATTCATTTTCCTTCCGTTCAATGGCGGTATGTCCCGATAACACCCATCTCCAATATGCTGACAGTAAGCCGACAGGTCCTCGAATATGCCTTGGTCAACAGGTGAGGCTCCATCGAGACCGGTATTATTGGTTGTTGACTATATCAACCAGTTTGCCTACCACGAAGCGTCGTTCTTCCTCGTCCGCCTTCTGCAGAGCTTCACTAACATCAGTCTTGCACCGGACGCCCAACCCGAGGAATCCAAGCCGCCAGAGAGCTGGAAAATGCGCCCGGGCACGCAAGCGAACGAGAAAATCCAGCTTGGTCTGCACCTGACGATGTATTCCAAGGTGCGCTTCCGCCCTGTGGCTATTCGACTTATATCAGCCTGACTTATTTTTCGCTAGGGTGGCTTGTGGGTACGGATGGACAGACTTGCCCCAGAGACCAACTCGGAAATTGCATGAGACGCAGCCCACCACCATATGCATTCAAGTTCCTTAAGACACGTGTACATTACTAATTTGACATGCTTTGCTCTTCATCCTTTGCTTCAGCACTATATATGCATTGAGCCCACAGGCTCCCACTGACCGTATCTGTTCCGAAACGAACTTGGGTCTCTTCCAATGCGCAATTTCAAGTTTGATCTATGCTGCTTGTGGAGTTGCCATAGCTTCGATTCAACTTGGGGCTCCAGACACGGCTGCGAGCCATCCTGCTTCGGCCACCATGAAAGCTGCACTTCGAAACACTCCACTCGCTCCCGCCCACTCCGAGATTCCACGAACTCGAAAAACTTCTGGTGGTCGAATGACAATTGAGTAGCGCAGCTGAACGTATGAAGGTCTGGGACAAGGATGTGTGTGACCCGATTCGAAGTCAGTGTGTCTGTGAGAAGTTCTTTGGGAAAGACTGTTTCTGTGAGTCGGCTCATGAGCTCATCAGTGAGAATTGTCGTGGTAGGCTCGGAGTCCCTCAGGGCAAGCTGATCAGAGAATGCGAGCGTTTGCAGGCGAGGAAGTTCGGTTAGTGCGGAAAGCAGCTCCAGCTCACTGAGGAACATATGGCGAACGTCAAGAGTATGGAGATGTGCGTTGAAATGCGATCGTCCAGCTAGCGCGCGAATGGTGGCATCAGGCCATGGTACAACGGCAGTTGGATAGCCAGTGCATTTGAGCACTAACTCGCGGAGAGACCCCAAGGTGATAGAGGAGAGCAATACATTGAGAAGCTTCACACAAGCATGCAGTTCGTCCGAATCGAAGTAATGGGTGTCAACGGAGGCCCAGAACTTTGTGATTTCGGATGAGGAATGGAAGTTTATGTTTGTGTGGCGATCAAAATCTGCTGCAAGGGAAATATACGCCGCACCCGAAAGTCTGGGCAGACAATCCAAAGCAAGATGAAGCGTGCTTGGAACAACATCTTTATATAGGACGTGTTCGAGTTGCTCCAGCGGGAGCTGTTGCAGGGACGTCTCTCCGGAAAAAGCTACCGCCCTTGACTTGGGAGCATCTCGAAAAACAGAAAAGGTGTCTATGGTCCACCGGTCTTTGCCGTGACGGCGGTCTTTGATTTCGAGACTTTTGAGGCCAGCCAATTGTCTGTGAAAGCCGAAAGCAGGTATAGTTGGTCCGGGGCAGGTGAGAGAGGCAGTCCTCCAGCGATGACACGTGGCACCGAGCATGGAAAGTGCCTGAGCAGCCTCCTCCGCCAGGGTGGGCGACGCATAATGCACAATCTTGACATGGAGTAACGATTCTTGCGACCGCTCGAGCCCGAGTTTGAGCAATTCTAGGGCCTGTTGGCTTCCTCGGGGATCCTTTGCACCCCATTCTAAGCAAACGATGGTGAATTCTGTCCACAACTCGGCAGTATCCATGACAACGTTGTGCCATTGAAAGCAGACTTGCGAGAGAGTAAGCAGCGGGGGCGAATGCAAGTCGCAGGAGCATAGGAGAGCAGGCTTTGAACCGTGGCTCGACACATGGTATCAGGTTGCGCTCGAGGGTAACTGGAACGTCGGCAAAGGTTGTCCAAACGCCAAGAGGTATGCATACCTGAAACCCCCGACGTCAGGTCGGAAAAGTGAATTAGCTACTGCTGGACACCCCCCTCCCTGTGTGACGTCACGCCACGTGATTGCACGTGATGTCCCAAAAAGGCAATTCCATGATGGGTGTTAGAAACTGGTGAAAATGTCATGCAGTACTACTAATTTCCTCTATATATAGTGTCCCTTCTTATGCTCTCCACCCACATCCACCCTGCGGACATCATTATAAAACCAATTTTGGCTGCAGGCATAGCTGGCAGGTGTGACTTGGGTGTGCCGTGGCCGTGTCATCACCACCTCAACGGAAATTCCTATCAAAATGCTTATACATGCCTCAGAAGAACCCCAAAATCTGCTTTCAATGACAATTATATGCATTCTGAGACCATTAATAGCATTCCCAGCCACTCTGTACCCTACGAAAGAAAAGTGAATTAAGGCCACCAGACCACCCCCCTCCCCTCCCCCCTGACGTCTCGGCTTGCACCAGCGCATACCCCTTGCCAAACGCAACGGAAGATGTTGACGAGAATCTCCGTAGGCAATTGGCGGATGGGGGAGTATAGACTCTTTGCAGCGTCATGGATCGGCTCCAACCAATAACGAAGAGCATTAAGCTGTTTAAGTCGACTCTCCAGCCTTCTCATCTCGGCTCCGAGGTCCACCGTGACCAACCGTCTCTGGCATTGTGTTATCTCATCGTCGTACGCCCTCATTTCGGAGGTGATTGCTTCAAGATCATCGGAGAGACTTTCTGGGAGAGACAAGTTGCTTCGGCACAGCTCATAGAGGGACGAGAGATAGATGGGGTCTTGGACAAATCGAGAGGTCGACATGTGTGACCCACATCAAGTTACACGGCTTCTTACCACCATCCAAGCAGACCAACTTCAGCTTTTAACAGCTGCAGTCTGACCGTGACCTGCGAAAGCGGTTAGGAAGAAATTCCGACACGACGCGAGGCTCTTGGATGAGAGAGATGTCACGGTGACAAGCCGGGAATGCGTCACGAACGAAAAGGACTGGAATGTCACGGTTGGTTTGCGGGAATGGAGGGTGTGGCGGGCAAATAGTGTGTCTTGTTTTCTGTTGATGGAGCTCATAGTATGATTACTTATATCAGGGGTTCTACTTCACAGCACACTTCGAAAATTGGCTAGCGCTCGTATTCGACAAGACTTCAAGACTCATGGCAAGTTCCCTGTTGTCAACGCTGCGGAGAGGCTACAGATTTGTATTGGCGTGCAAGAGTACACGAGAAGTGGTACAACAAGGTGCTACAAGTTTTACTTTAGTGCTCACACATGTTAAAACTCAACGCGGCTGTGCCCTCCCTTGCTTTTAGGAACACCTTCCGCTCGGCCATGAGTCTGGTTCTTACCTCATGCGCCTCACGACGGCCCAAATACCGTCCTCCCTCAACCTGCTCTAGTTCAGCGGAAATTGCTTGGATGAGCTCAAGCGGCAGACGCGACACTAAAGAGCGCGGATCTTGTTGTGCTTCCAACAGCGCGCGCAGCGCCCATTTGCTTTGTTGGGGAGGCACGGTTGTGGCCGATGGGACCGGTTTGATGGAAGGATCGACAAGAAATACTGCAAGAATTTTTCGATGACCAGGGCGGGTAGGGTCTTTGAGACTGAACGGTGCAACCTTGTGTTGGTAGATGTTGGGCCATGCTAACACACGCCCAGATTTCGTCTCCTACATCAAGACCAATGACTAATTTTCTGAGTAAGAGAAACTTGAAGCAGACGCACGATTGAACCCAAACTTTGAATAATAAAGACAATGTGTCTCCCTGTGAATGGTTGAGCGCAAGAGACAGCGAGTCAAAGAACATCCAACTGACCGCTCCATACCATACAGAACTTTTGAACATAATTCGTCGTCTTGCTCGTGATAAACAGGAGGACTAGTCGTAACCCGGAATTCCAGTCTTGATTCAGTGATGTTGTCCTCGTCATAATACTACAGGGCAATGAGTCTCGTGAAACTCCCGGGCCGTCATGTAGGTGACTGACATATATTGCTGAAGCCACGATGCGTTCATTTAGCATGCCTGGATGCCGTTAGCAAATATACGACGGAATAAAAAAATGTCTGGCCTTCGACATGCGACTCACATGCCAGCTACCACCCGCATACTCCTTCTTCTCTGGCGTCAAATGGATGTTTGCAAGTCTGACAATGCACTGAATAGTCTTGCCCCGCAGCGACTCGGAGTAAGGAACGAAAGTCCTCTTCAACGCGCCATTATCTTCCTCATGTGCCTCGGGAAGTATCTCTATAGCATCAAGATATTGGTCGTTGGTCTTAAATTGTCCGCGGTCACGCATTCCGCTGGCCCAAATGCACGGCACCCGCAGTCCAACGTACTCGCGGTCAAACCCGATGAAAGTCCCAAAGCCATATTTCACCTTGATACGGCCCGAACCACCAGGGACCTCGTCTTTTTGCCATTCGCGCAGCAAGTCTTGTTCGGAGCCGTTTATTTGACTCAATACCCGCTCGAAAAGGGGGACAAATGCCCCGATGGCCTGCTCGATTACGCGGTAAAGCTGTTGATGGGTTGTCGGGTGCAGGTTGTTGATGTACGGAGAAACAAAACGGGCTTCAGCAACGCCATCATGCTTATTTGACGAAATGGCAAAGTCGGATGGGAGCCAAGAGTACTTTTCCGACAAGCAGTGCGCATTAATGTCGTCCGAGAGCCATATTTTCCACGATTTTTCGTAAGGAACGGCCACTCTCGTGTTTGTTGCTTGCTGCTCCATCGCTTCTTGACGCCATTTCTCCATTATCGTCGCGTCCTTGGCCTTGCGACGCCAGTCGGGTTTGCTTCGAATCGCCCAAGAAAGCGCGTACATTCGGAGTTCTGCCAGCTTAAAACAAAAAGGTTTCGACCAGACAACTTGTAGTGCAAACGTAAATGCACTACTGTACGTGGAGGAGGACCCCAGCAAATTTCTCCGCGAGATGACTCTTCCGAGGTTCCGAAGGCAACAAAGGGGAGCGGAAAAGTCCAGCTCGGCTTGACAATGGGTTGTTCGAATTAGGCCGTCTGGCGATATGAGTTTCTAGAATCGCTGCAAATTTCGCATCATGCTCCTGGCCCGAGGCCATGGTAAGAATTTGACGCTTACGTCAGCCGCCTGATGGGTGTCGAATCTCGAGACTCGAATAGGTTCAAAAACTTCATATGCACTTGTACTAGTCAGCTTTGTGTGTGTGCAATAATCGATGATGAGAAACGCCTTACCCCAGTTGAGCCGTTCTGTACTTAGTTTTGATGCCTCCTTGGCTTTATTATTTTATTGTTAGAGAGGCCTTCGAGGCTTCCAGTGAGCCAAGGAGCTTTGAGAGCCACCATTGACACCTACGACTCTAAGCTACGAGTTCTTTCGCTTCTCCAAGCTCTTGTGGAAAGCCGCTCTCCACACGAGCGTCAACAGGGCAGACAGAACTCCATATGGCGGAAATAGCCAGCTCAGACGCCACGACCAGCCTGAGTCACGTTTTAGCACTCGTACCAGCTCATTAACATGTCCTTCAAGATCTTCAGGTGACCCAGAGTTGTCGACAACATGATCTGCATACAATATCTTGTCCGTTATGGGAAGTTGCGAGTTGAGTCGGGCGGATGCGTCTTCTGCAGAAGAGTTGTCCCGTTTCATCAGTCTCTCTAGTTGCACTTCCGGAGAGCTACCGGTTAGTTAGCGGTATGACATTCGGAGGTACACTTCTCACCAGAATACAACCACGATTTTGCCATAGAACCTCCACAACCCACTCTCGATGAGCAGCGGCACATCAAGCACACAGAACCTCCTTCCTGACAGCCAATTATTCACGACTGCCCAAAGCATGGCGCGTCTTACAGCCGGGTGAACGATGGAATTCAGCTTGCGTCGCTTGGCCTCGTCATTGAAGATGATAGAGCCGAGTTTCTTGCGGTCTAACGAGCCATCCGGGAGGAGAATTTCTTTTCCGAAGAAGGCCACTATCTTCCGCAGCCCAGTCGTGCCTGGCGCAACGACTTGACGCGCCAAAACATCGGCGTCGATGAGAGGAATGCCTTTCGCTTTGAGGAGGTTTGATACTGATGATTTGCCGGTCGCGATACCTCCCGTAAGTCCGACGACTGGAAGTAAAATGCATAAGTGCATGATATTTGCATGAAACCGCGTTCACCAAGCATGAGAGTTGTGAATGAACCTTTGACGTGTCACGTTTTTGATGGAGAGATTCTCTGCTGTTGACGATGTCGAAAGCAGAAGGCGACCTGCTAGATTTGCTGCTCCAACTCAAGGTAGCTACGATTCTCCAGACCCCGAGCCACTATCCACAATTTGTCATAGAGAACAACACCTCAAGCAGCGAAACAACTGCTCAACAGCCAGCCAGCCATCGCTTATGCCCTTATCTCTCTCATGGTCTCGATGAATGCAATTGACATCGACGTTTTCCAAGTATATAACTTGTCCAGGAAGCTCTCTGCAATGCTCAATTTCACACAGAAAACTCTAGCTTCACACAGTGGGGCTAGCGTCGCTCCACCGGCCCCAGTACCACTCTCTGCCATCCCCCCTCACATGCAGCCCTCTTCGCGCACCAATACTCCTCCAGTTCAACCGCCATATCCTCAACATTACCCGTCACACACTCCAACGCCTCCCAATGCTGGTGCTTACCCCGCCTATAACGCGTATCCACAACCTGCCGCGGCAACGCCACCACCAACTCGGGCTCCTCCCCCGCCTGCCATTCCTGAGTCTATGCTAGCTGGCATGTCTGAAGAGCAACGGGTAAGCCGTTTGCTGTCCGTTGGCCCTCGCTAATTCCACTTCCAGCAAATGCTAATCAACGTGTTGTCGATGACGCCAGAGCAAGTCAATGCGCTCCCGCCAGCGGACAGGACCAATATCATGCAATTGGTACTCTCTTTCGCTCTAGTAGTCACTGTTCTTGACCCCCCGATCAGAGAGCGACATTGGGCATTCGTTAATCCGCGACGTAAGTAGCTCTCGTCCATCTCATAGGTGCGGCGTGAGTTGGCTTCAAAAGTTGTTGGTTCAGCGTGTCGATGCCCGTCGTCGAAAATCCAAAACGCAAAGCGTGTAAGCTGGAAGTAATGGAATTCTTTCTAGACTGTTTTCTCGCATGTGCGACCTTTTTGCACGATTGATTCAAATGGATTCAACACTACTAAGACAGAATTTATCGCTAGCTACTGAAGACGATCAAAGAGCGCCACTGGCATCCCTTCGATCGAGTCTTCGTTTGTGAACAAACTCGACGGTCGGTGGTGAGAAAGTACTCGCCGATTCTCAATCAAGTCTGGCAACAGGTCAGAAATCAATGAAGTTTCGACGAAGTCGGTGACGAACCTGTTCCCACTCCCACAACGGTCGGTTGCCGATTCTCAATTGCAGTGTCCTTCTCGCAAGGCTGGACGGTCGACTCGTTGATCGCGGGGCTTGAATGCGCCTTCGTTCGTCATGCTTGTCGATTCTCAATCCAGACTTGCAGTTGGTGCGGGTCCCAAGGGTCGGATAAATCCAATTCTCGCTTGAATGCCGCTATTCAGGAACACTGGCAATGGTCGGTCGCGCGATTCTCGGTTGTGGGAGTGGTTATTTGCTTTGAGTTTCGATGTCTGTGCTGGAACCATTGGAATATTGCCGAAACCCCAGGCAGAAAAAGAGGAGAGAGAGAGAGGTGAAGAGAGAGAGAGAGGAAAAGAAGAATAAATGCAGCAACACAACTCTATGGGTTCGCAAGTCGGCGGTCGTATGGCAATCGCGGGGTTGTCAAGTAGTTGCAGATACTCCAAATCGGGGGGTGGTTCTTCGAGGCAAGAAAAGGAAGGCGTCCCCTGCTTCTCTGTCGAAAGTTGTTGTCCCTCGTCTCTTCGTATTCTGGCATACTACTCTTTGCCGTCGTTCGTTGCTTTCCGATTCTCAACCGACTTTGCGAACCGCTCCTTATTGTTCTCTACAGCACTGGCAAAGTAAGGTAAGCACGAGGGAGGAATCATTCAAGTTCAGAAGACGCACAGGCATGGCGGCGGCGGCGAAATTGCCGCTTCACGCTATGCCATGTTTGAGGAGTCAAGAACTTTGCCAGGCCAACCTAAAAGCATTGAGTAAATCGGATTTTCGCTCTAAACGACGCGACTTACAATATCATAGTTGCCGTCGACGAGAATAAAAGCGGGCAAGATGGCAAGCTGCGTCGAGAAACAGTAAGTATCTGTTGTTGAAAAAGATGGGTCGGAGAACATACCGCATTCCCAACGACTCCCATGACCATCCAGCTCTTCGTCAAAACGCGAATAAAATCACAGGCAAGCAGCGCGAGGTCTTCGTATTGTTGGTTTCTGAATGGAATTGCTTGCTCTCGGAGATGCACCATAAGTTTTTCAAGTCCGAATGATCCATGCGATGCGTTCCCCCACATTTCGCCAACGCGTGCATTTCCGAGACCCTGGTCCAATGCCGTGATCACAGCAAATGCGGCCAGGCAAAGGTAGAAAACGAAGATCAAGACCAAAGGACGATCGCGAGTGCATCTTTTCCACAAGTTGTTGAGCGAGGAAGGGGCGTTCTTGACAATTTTTCGCATTGTAGAGACGAAGGATAATGCGAGATAGACCACGGTAGTGAACGCGATGACCTGAAGAAAATGGTGATCAGAAAAGTGAATGAGATGAGACGTGTAGAACGCACGTGTTTCAGCTCGGCATTCCAATTAGATGGTAAGCCCACATTGGCAAAAGTCCAGTGGAGGATGCTTCGTATTTTGCCCACGGTCAACAGCCAAAGCGGCCAGTTTGGAGTGGAGCCCCATTGGTAAATGGCCCAGTGCAACCCAAAAACGGAGCAAATGGGAAACAAGAGGAGATAGGGCGAAGCCAAGAGTGTCATAAACACGAGCAATGCCTCCCATGCTGGAAGTATATCTCGCGGAGGCAGATATGGATGCAGCGCTCTAACGGAGAGGATGACGGAGACCCATAACGAATGGCTTACGGCGCTGAATACTAGCTTTCGTGTTACGAAAACCAACATCGAAGCAAGATATTGGACGCAAAAAGCGGTAATACCAGGCACTTCACGCATTGGCCAGACCATGGCATCAATGATGACTTCTTCCAACTGTGAGCCACTCAAGGGAAAGAAGAGCCAAGCGGCCACAATGAGAAAGAGACGAAGGAATAGTGGGGTTCTGAAGCCTGGAGTAGAGCGAATGGCAAGCCATGCACCAACTGCCGCGAAGAGAAAAGAGACGAGTAGGGCCAAAGCCAAGACAACAGCCGGGGTTGGCAACAGGCAATGATTGGACAATGTCGGCGGAAGACTAAAGAACTCGGTCTTCGTAGGGATTGCTTCGAACGGAACGACGATTGGCACTGGCTCGAGGTCGATGGTGATCTCAGTGGCCAGGATCGTTTCAAGGTCGCGCAGTTCACGGGAGCGGCGACGAGCGGACAACATGTATGAAACCCTTGCCCCGTAGAGCAGCATGTGAATTGGACCTATGAGGCAACCAAAGAGTTGCGATTTGAACGATGGGGGCGAGTACATGGTGGGCTGAAACAAGAGGGATGGAGTGCCGTCACACTCCGTCACACTCTTCAAAAGTGGTGACTCACAGGTGAAACTTTCGAAGTCCTCGACGAGGACATACATACGCTGGCAAACTTCAATGCATTGGTCAAGGCTCAAGGGTCAAAGGCAAAGTCCTGTCAATCACTCCCCGTCAATGTGGCGGCGTCACCGAGCCCTTCTCACATGCACGACTGTCGGACAGACTCTGACTGGTAACTCTACGTCAACCCTGCGTACATTCGTCCTTCGTTTAGAGAGTTGTCGCAGCCTTATAAGGCATTCATTAAAGCGCGATGTACCAGTAAGTATTTTTTCCTCTATCTAATGCGCCAACGGAACATATCTTGCGTCAAGTTTCTGAATCAACGACAACATAACATCCATCTGCGCCATCAACGCGTCCATATCAAGCCTGCTCCAGCCTCCGTCGGTCGATGCTGCCCAAAGGTAATCCGGTTGGGGAATAATTCTGTGGTACTGCAGATCAGGGAGCGTTTGAGACGCGGTTTGTTGCTTACCCTATGGTCGGAATGCTCGAATGACCAAGAATAGCGCTTCCACCTACACCATACCACATGGAGCGCGAACCATCCAAATGTTCTGGGGCCAGTAGCGCCATACGAAGTGGGCTCGGGCTTGCGTCAAATGCGTTAAGATACGACTCATGAAGCGGACCGCTGGCTTTTGACTCATTGCTGCTTGTTGATGAGTATATATCCACCCACCAGTTACTTCCACCTGAGATAGAACTTACGCCATTGTCCAAATCGGCTCCAAGGCGCCGGTGGCTCGGTAAATCGGCATCATCGTGGGCGAGGAAAAGTCGTCCTTCCACTCGATCGCACCGAAATGTTCGACAGAAACGGCAAATCTCGCGTTGGCAAGGATGTCCGGATAGTCCCTCATCCACGCCGACTCGTTCAAGTGATGGCCTGACATGTGGCCAGTGGTGATAACAAAGCTGCGAAACTACTAGTATCAATCATTGCTTTGAAGGATTCGTGGCATACTCCAAGCTCATGTTGAGGATCGGTTGCGGGTAGCGAGCGAAATGTTCAGCGATGGTGAGCAGCAATAATGGCCCTGAACGCATTTAACACTGCTTATCTGTGACTCCTGAGCCAGCGCACCATTTTCCTCGATGATCGAAGGCCCATCACCTCAAAGTACTATCAACCTTGGAAAGAGGTAAGGAGAGACTTACTGTGCGTATAAAGAATGATCGTATCGTCAGACTCGTCCGCCGCTGCGCCATCCAGATGACCAATGACTGTTTGCGTCTGAGCCAAAACGTCGGGTGCGTTTAATACGACCGTTGCGTTCGAGACACCGCCGTTTGCCAGAAGATTGCGAATCATTTTGCCAGTGGAGTTGCCAACATATAGCGCAGGGACCTGGTAGCTGTTTGGCGAGCTGCCGTCCCCTGGCGACCCGTCATTGGGCAGAAACTGAAGCGCCGCATTCTCATCTGAGGTGTTGACCCACGAAGAAATTGCAGCTACTACTCCGCGCTGATGCAACTCCGTCCAGTTGAGGGTCTTGCTCGATTGCCAATGGGGGTTGGTCAAGTTTCCCAGCTGCCGACTAATCAAATATCCGCTCGTTGAGAGCATTCACGGTCATACCTCAGGAATTGCTGCCGAAGGTATATTCCGAGACGTGCTAGGTGAGTAGATCAGTGCAGATTCAAAGGTTTGGAGTAACCCTTCTAACCCCAGCAAATGGTAGCCTGGCTCAGAGTAATTGCGGGTTGGGCTGGGATTGTCGAAGAACACTATGGTACCTCCATCGGAGGCGATGTGCGTGAAATCCAAAGTGCTTGGGTCGCCATCTGAGTTGGGAAGCAAGCCGAATGTCCCGACATCGACTAAAGGGGCAGTAACACCCGCAAGCGACGTGCTTCCAGAATACGGCCAGTACCCAGTCGTGGGTATGCCAATCGTCGAGCCGTTGGTGAGCGTCAGACTGAGCGACCACCATCTCGGATCCCATCTATTCAAACTTCGAGTAAATGCAGACACTGCAGCTCCAGCCTCACCTATAAAACTGATAGTCTATGGTATCGACGTCGAGACCAGCCCCTTCCATGGCTTCTGCGACGAGGCTGGTGAGGACGTTCTGATTTTCGTTTCCGGCTGACGATTTGTCACTTCTCCCAGGTTTGGCAATAAAGCAATAAACCGACGTACTCCATCGTGGGCCCCGCAAGTTCGTCTGAAACAGACGGTCCTTGAGCACCTGCTTCTCCAGGTCACTCAATCGGGCGTCTATTCGCGCCGAGTTACTCTTGCTGTCGACTAATGTCCCAAAGGCAAAGAGACAGGCGAGCTTGAAAGCGAGGGCCAGCCTGCCAACAAGGATATCGACGAGCATGATGAAAAGGCGTCTTCGTTCCTTCCAAGTCAGGTGGGCGGGTAGTGGCTCTTAACAGGCCTGGGGGACTAGTCGGCGACGGCTTATAAGGGTCGATTGCGCCACGTTCTAGGTTATGGCTTCGCGCGCGTTTATGCTTACCTGGACGTGTCATTCGGAGGATAAGGTTATTGTTCACGAATCACGACGGTAAATGTACTTGTAAACTGCTGGTGCGTTGAGCTCTTGCCATGCTGGAAAGAGAACACTCGCACCCGGATCGTTTGCAACACAACAATGCTTTGTTGAAAATAGTCCCATTGCAAATGATTGCATCTACAGATGGTTCTGGGTGACGTACTAGTAAGAAGTTCAGCTTCTCCTTTGCATCTTCGACGATAAGCCAAGAAGAATTCTCGTTGATGGAAAAACTTACTGCTCCCCATTGGCAACGACGCTACTGCACGGGAGCCACCGCGTCGGTAATTATGACGAAAAGTGTTTCGCTATAACTACGACGACTTGCGTGCTACCCAAAATTCTGCTTGGTACAACCACCTCATCATGGCGCGCGAGTCTGCGGTATATTCACACTCGACCGTCCTTGTTTTCAAACCATCCTCCCTTGGCTCAAAGACAAAGCCAACGTGCTCCGCCGCTTGGACCATCTCCTCCAAGCTTAACTCCAGTTTTGCCTGCCCTCCACTTGTCCACAACAGCGGCCCCAAGTTGAGCCAGGTGCCCCCGGGACGAAGCAAACGGTGGATTTGTTCGAGGGTGGTGAGGATATTGAGCGAAGTGTCGATGAAGAAGAGCGTGACGATGTAGTCGTAGCCGTCGGTTTCGCGGAGCGTTAGAAAGTCCTGCTCGACCAGCTTGAAGCGGCGGGAAAGCCGCGGTATTGCATCAGGGAAGGACATTGCGCGAAACAGGGAGTCCGTCGTGCGCTGGTGAGAGAACCATTGGGCGTATGGATGGATAGTGTGCTGGTTGATTTGTGATGTCGTCGAAGGAGAGAGTAGGAAGCGGAAGGCGAGTATCATGAAATAGGAAAGCTCATTGGCACTAGTTTCAAGAAATCCTGTAGCAGATAAGCCAGCAAGCCACGGACGACAACAACCACTCACCCAACTGAGAGATGTCCCAGGCAAGCCGCCCCAGACCAGCTCCAGGCACCAGCACACGCTTCTCGGCGCATTTTTCGTCTCGTTTTAACACCTCGAGTATTGGAGTGAATATCTTTGTCCGCTCAGAAAGCCCGTCCGCGCTCCAGTTTCGAATAAAATGCTTCAACGCTTCCTTCACGCGCATCAAGTCGCTCGACGTCCCCCCGCGTGGTGGTAAGTCCAATTGGAAGTCTCCTTCAGCCAGCCGGGCGATAGAATCAGTGACTCTCCCATTGGCGTCCGTGGCTTTGGCCAGACGGGTCAATTTCGCGGGGTAGCCTAGGTCATAGCCTATGCGCTTGTGTGCGCGGCTAATGCTGCTATATGAGGCGTGTAGATGGGAAGCGTCGAGGGCAGATAGTTGGCGATAGCGAGCAAACGCGTTGCGTGCTCGGACGGCAGAAAATGGGGGAGAGTCGTTTGGGTCAAGGGATTTGAGGCTGAGGAGGTCAAGAATCTCCGTCCAGCTGTTGGGCAAGAAAAAAAGACGCCAAGCGACGAGCGCGATAGCGAGAGGGAGGAAGAGCGCCAACCAGATGTCGGAAGTCCATGAGAGCATCCGGTGGTGGGAATTTAGCCAAACAAGGACAATCAAAATCACATCCGAAGCCCAATATGGAAATTTCGACACCACAGGAGTTCATATTTGCATTTTGTGGAATACAGATGCGAAGATCATCTTCGAAGCCTCCGATACCTCGATTTAAGACCTTAATGATACAGCTTTCTTGGAGCCGTGCCGCGACGCATATGACTCTCTATAGTGAGGCTACAAGCCAAGCCCGACTTCAGAATTGGCGCGTCTGTTCCTTCGACGCTGCATAAGTCGCACAAATTTTTCTGGCGGTATGCGCCATGAACGCTAGCGAATTCTCCGCTGTGGGGGGATAAGAGGGCTTTAATCAGAATTAACCTGCACACACCGTCCAATTCGTCGCTATAGCCCATATCTTTCAGCCAATCTTGCGCGCATGTCTTGGCATCGTGATGAAAGTTACTGCTCCGTCCCATCCCAGCCGGCATACGATCCTTGCCATTGTTTTTGGGGGCGGACATGTGAGTGCAGAGAGAAGAGACGCACGCGGTCGCACGACTCAGTTATGTTGTGTTATATACCTTGACCGCAGCTAGAACATTCCGTGGCGAATTCGGCGCTGTGGCGGCTGGAGCAACATTGCGGGGGCCCGCTAATCCGCCCATTAGATGATTTAGATCGAGTTCATTCATGGAGCCGACATTGATTTGTATTTTGAGGGTTCGACATGTCCCCGGCGGCCTCAGGTGACCCACTCGTGTTGTCCTCCGCTTCAAATTCTTGGCCCTGCCAGCGCCAGTCCCTAGCTCGTGTCAAGAACTTGAAGTTTCCCAGACAAGGCGGAAGGATGTCTTGGATCCATCTTCTCTAATCCCATGACACTGAACCCGTACGACATTCTTCTCGTCGTTGCTGTTGTTGTTTCTGGCATGGATTCCAGAATCCAGTGGGCGTGAAGGAGTGTCAAAGTCACGCGACCATGCGACAGTAACGTGTGACCGTGACACACACACACCAACGCACAGTCGATGGTTTGCAGCATACAACCTCGTTGAGCATTGTATTAAGAGATAGTGACAAAAAGAGGAGCCGCATTCTGGTATGTCAGACACCCACAAATTAGTCACGCCTGAAAAGTTATGAACTTTATTAGTTAAAGTAGCAGGAGTCGACCAGGGTTGAACAGTGGTTGAACCGTGCAATCTCATCTCAACTCTCAATCCCAAACACCGAATACGCGCGAGAGACCCTCTTGATTACACCCAACTCTACACATATGTCGAGAATACGACGCGGACCTGACATTGATAACTTGAAGGAAGCTGCCCCGCCTCAAAGCGTTATAAAGGTCGAGAGAATGCCAAAAGCGCTCGAAAAATCGAACCACAGACTTGTTTTCGACCATGTGTTGATCCCGCCACCCAATTTTCGTGTCAAAAATCGTGTTCCGAATTCTTCGCTCAGACACTGGCACCCAAACACCAGCTCCGTTGCATCTACTTCTCAAATCATGTCACATATCGATACCTCTATATCGTACACGCCAGCATCGTCAGAGGAGCCCGAGACCACACCCTCACGGAAGTTTACGCATTCCTCACTCGACAGTCAGCTTAGTCAGGCCATCGAAGAGCTTTCGCAAACGCATGGGTTCAACGTTGGCATGGTGCGCAAGGTTTTCTCCAAGACCGGCAGCTTAGCCGAGGCGGACTCGATTCTGCGAGAAATGCGAGAGGCGGCAGATGATGTAGCGTCGGCGCAATTGGAGGGTTGGGAATAGCTGTTATGTTCGAGCTGCCTGCATACACAGGTGATACTAAACGTTAACCACTTCATACTTCCGTAGTAAGAATAGCCACCAATTCGTCGATGTGGCTCAAAAACGGGCTATGACCGCAATCCATCTCGACGACCTTCCACTTGTCATCCACCTTCACCCTCTCCACAAACGTCTTCTGTGCTTGCAGCGATATAGATCGATCTTGCTTGCAGCAGATGTACGTTTTCGGAACATCGACCCCCCAGCAAACACCAACAGCGGGCGTACTGAGAATATGCATCGACATCGGTTCAAGCTTGCTGGTCCAATGTGATTTGGCGTCGACATCCAAGTCGTGGTACAACACTTCTGTTGCCGCGGGATATGCGGCAATCGTGACTAGGCCTGTTGGCTATAAAGTTGTCAGCAAATGCATGGCGATCACGAAAAAAATTGTGATACCCCAAGCCACTGGCCGGGCTGGAAGTTGGCGCCAGCGAATGTTTGCAGCAAGCCCTCTCCCTCTCGCGGGAGAATCGCGGCGAGGAATATGATCCTGATGATTCCGCCCCGCGCACCGTCTTTGTTTCTCTTACTCTTTTCCAGCCCCGCCACAGCTTGACTTCCAGGGATTCCGCCGTACGAATGACAGAAGAGGACAACCTCTTTCTCTTGTTCTACAACGAGTTCTTCTAGGGCCTTTCTGACCGCTTGGGCGTCAGCGTTCGGCTTCGCAGTGCTGGCTGAGTTCCCGACTGTCGCGAGTGCGACTGCGTGCGTTGGATACCCCTTTGCTTGGAGGGCATCGAGAATTGGCTGCGCATGGGCAGGGGTATGGAAAACGCCGGGAACGAAGACGAAGGTAGGTTGGGTGGCCATGGCGGGGATGGGCGGCAGCCCCCCCTCTTCGGCTTAAATGTGTCCAAGGAATCATGATGGTTTCAGTTCCCGAGTTTCTCAATGGAGACCTTGGCAATGCATTCGTGAAACGTCATGCACCAGAGCAAGCGCAAGCGCCAGCGCCGTGGTGATGATTCCCCTTTTCAGCCCCCAGGAGGGACAGCTTGCACCAAGACAGGGTCCGGGAAGATCGCCGCCGGGTGCAAGGCTGCTTACTATGGGTTATTAGTTGAAGTTAGCAGCACTTGGGTCTTGAGGAGAGCCACCAGAATGATACCGTATATCCTCCAATTGACTCGAACCCGTTCATCAACTAACCGCGCCCTAGTCTGTCAATTGAAAAGGCGGCCAATAGCGGAAGTCGCCGTTTGGATCCAGCCTTGCGATAAATCTGAACCTGTCATGTGCGAGGCTTCTGAAAGCTCCCTCTTCCGAGTCGGCGCTTGCTGTGACCGGTGGATGCAGAAGCACCTCGTGCTGTTGCGCAGCGCTCAGTTGCGACGTCTTGCTCGTCATCGGCCTTCTGCTTCGAGGCGTCCTGTCAGTGTGTTATCGGTGTGCTTGCGACTGGAAGTAGACATAGCCTTACGGGCTAACGGGACCAAACAAGGTACACGGGGCCAAACAAGGTCCTTGCATGTGGTTGGTACCTAGTAATACCAGGTGGTGGACGGCACTGACAACAGAAACCAGGACCGAGGGCTTTCAGTGAACTGGATGTCAACAGGAGCCGTGGAAGGAAGTATGATTAGGCTGTGGCGACTGTTTTGGAAGAAGAAGAAAGTCCCTATGGTGCAATTCAGCATTCAGTCGAAGTTGCTTGCTGATACTGACTAAGAGTGACTAAGTAAGTCTTCGTGAGCTTGAAGTTGATTCATGTGCAATTTGGAACGACAAATAGTTGGAGGAGTAGTGTCCTAGCGCGTAACCGAAGCGATGAAGCCGGCGCTGGGGCTGGAGCAATTATCAAGGTCCAAGGATGGGTGACGGATGCTGAATCAGCAGCATCGGCGCCGATCAGCCCGTTTTTCTTCACTCTCACGACACAACACAAAATTTCGTTGGGCTTTGTCATGGGTCGCTCGCCTGGGGGCAGGAACACATTTATCCAGGATATGTAGAAGCATGCGTTATTCAGCAGACTCGGTTTGGATTCGGTCCCACGGAATGACCAGCACCAAAATAACTGGATGTCATCGAAGTCTTCGGAACCAGAGCGCGGGCAAGTTGAAGCAGTATTAAAAGACGTGCTGCTCGGACTTCCGTCCTCTTCTATCCAGCCTACCCACAATGTCGCAATACGCCTACTTGTCTGAACCCGACCCCGAACTGGTCCCAATATTACAAAGCCCTCCGCCACCCCCACCAGCAGACACACCGGCCGAGGGGGATGTTGAGGGCCAGAGAATCTTTTTGACTAGGTGGATGAATGAGGGCGGTCGGAAAGCGCATGAAAGCATCCTACCCAAAGGTGTGTTCTTTCTCGCTTCGATATTGCGAGCACTAACAGTCAGATAGAGTCGGAATATACGGTGAAAGACTACCGCATCCCTGTAGAAAACGGCGAAATTTCAGTTCGCAGCGTCGTCCCCACTCCCACCGACAACGACGAACTATTCCCATTACTATTCTGGGCTCATGGTGGCGGCTGGGTTGCGGGTGATTTAGACACTGACGACTACCCGCTGCGTGCAATTGCTCATGAAATACGCGTCAGCGTTGTCAGTGTAGACTATCGGTGCGTTGTCGTGAACCCGGTAATCATGACCACTTATATGCTACATAGTCTTGCTCCCGTTCATCGCCATCCAACTCAAGTGAATGATAGTTACACTGCGCTGAAATGGGCGAGTCCGAATCGCGCTCACCTGTCTGTGTCACGTCTAAACAAACCTCAGGCCGTGGAGAATGCCCCAATCCTCCGTGCTGATGTCAAAAAAGGACTCGTTTTGGGCGGCATCTCAGCTGGCGCCCATGTTGCTAGCGTTCTAGCCCATCGCGCTCGGGATGACCCATTTTTCAGCCACCGGCCTGTCACTGGGCATCTCCTACAAGTCCCCCCGTCCTTGCATTACGCTGCCCAAGTGCCAGAAGAGTAAATTGAACAATATTTTTTAACCATCCACTAAATACGGGTCGCAGGTACAAATGCCGTCTGCTGTCGATGGAGCAGAACAAACTCGCACCTATTTTGACCGCAGTGAGCATGAAGCAGTATTGGGGTGCGCATCCTCTGTTCCGAACGGCTGATCTGACTTCCCCGAGTAGATTCATTGGCGGGTGATGCCTCTCCCTCGCTGCCCGAAATCTCTCCGCTCCTTGCTGCGCACGCCGGCCTCTCCCCCGCTGTCCTCCAAATCTGTGGCATGGACCCGCTTCGCGACGAGGCCTTCTTGTACAACGATCTTCTCGTCAAGGCGGGTGTGAATACCCAAGTATTTAGGTAAGGGTCGCACTTGTTGAAGACGACTAATAACTCGTTTTTAGTTACCCGGGGCTTCCACACGGATTTTCCTATATCTTCCCCGACTTTGTGCAAGCGGTGAGTCACTACTTTGGCCCGTATAGACTTAGTAAATCAGTTTCAGCATAAATGGAATGAAGATTATCGTGTGGGCCTGAGGTGGCTGCTTGCTGGCACGGCAGAGAAAGCGCAATAAGGGATAGTGTGGTCATATTGGGAATAATGAATCTAAGCTAAACATACTCATTCGCTCGCCCGACAATGACTGCGCGGAGACGATGTCACACAATTTGGCAGCAGGAAACCGCAATTATAGCTGAACAGGACAAGTTTCAGTCACCGGGCCAGTGCAAACGCTTAAGAGCATTACTCACCAATCCATCATCATCGGCTGGGTTGTATATGTTGACATCAAAAGCTAGTCCCTCTGCGCAAAGTGCAGCCATCGCCGCTTTGAACTCGTCTGGGAACTCTTCCCCATAATCATTAGCGGAGATGTAGATGTCTTGCCAGCGCGCGACGCGCGGAGCAATCGTTTGAAGAGCATCGTTTGTCCACCAGCGCGAACGGACCATCGCCAAGACAACATTTCCGCTATAATTGTTCCCGACGCCATCGAGCTCAAGCTTTTGGAGGCAAGGCGCGGGCGGGTCGAGGTCCGCAGCGCGGTATGTCAGCCGTTCAAAGAAGGTGTTGTCTACGCAGTAGAAGCAGAAGTTGAGCCTGAGGTGGGTGACTGACGGAATACGAAGGAGGATGCCACCCAGCAATGCAGGACCAAATCCGCAACCAAAAATTTCGAGATACTTGAGAGCAGAACAACGTTGGAGGAATGACAGGAAGGAATGTCCGAAGTCAGGCTCCATCCTATATGTAGCCTTGATAATAAGGCTCAGTAAACAAGGAAATCCGAATTGGGAAAAGAAAGAGTCGAATATGCCATAATCCGACATGAAAATCCGCAAGTCATGCAGATGTAGCATGGTAACTACACCGGCTCGACTCGGAGACACGACAGAAAAGCTAGCTCCGTCAAAGACAATACCCTCCGAGTCTAAGCGAAGATCAACAAGCGAGCTGCATTGCTCTAGAGGGACCAGGAAGTCCGATGACTTCAAGTTAAATGCCACCAACTTGAGTTTGGTGAGCTGAGACCAAGGGAGCAGCAGTTTAGCGAAATCAGCCGCATGAAGCCTCACGTGGGTTAGCTTTGGGGCGTCCAGGAATAAAGCCGATGGCTCGACCAGGTTTGCTTCATCCAATACCAACTGTTGTCTGAAGTCAATTTCATATAATTGACAGAGTGGTCCGGATAGTTGCGTAGTTCTGAAGGAAGGAATAACATCAAAGGCCACTCTGAGCCTTCGCCACCGATGAGCCGAACCCATGATGCTATCCATGACATTGCCCCTAGTGGGAGATTGCTGAGGTGGAAAGAGGAACTCTCGCCCCACCGTGATGTCGAGAGAGTACGGCGATGACCGTTGGAGTAGCGTCTTCGTGATTTCCAAGTATTGAGGAGAGCAAGTTGAGCTCTTGAGTGCAATTGTCGTATGCCATAGGCGGGGTGCAGTTACGACTAGCTGACGCCAGTATTCGAAATATCTCCAAAAGAACATCGACAGGGAGCTTCCGGACGGGAGAAAGGGCATATCTGAGAGCAGCAATCCGAGCTACGAGTTGCGGGTGGGTTTGACCGTGACCGTAACCTGGAGAATCGGGCTGCGCATTTTTCAAGGGCAGTTGGCGTTCTGCTTCGAGGAGAGCCCGGGCATAATTCTCGAACCCGGGTGAAGCAGACTGGTTGAGAATGTCGTAGAAAATGGGTGAATTTGGCCAGTGCATTGTGAGAGTTACGGTGAGTGGGAATGCGGGTCTTCTCCTACGTGCGGGGCAAGCACTGTAACTCATGCACTGGCAGGCATAGATGAACTTGAAGCGATGGTTGACCGCGTTGAGCCCTGAAGTTGTCACGTCGACTGTGACCAACGCCATCATTTTTTTAGTTTATACAGGGACTAGAACTTAGCTCGATTTAGCAAATGCATTCAAGATGCATTCGTCTGGAAGACCAGCGCAAAATAATACAACTTTCCATCTATCTACGAGTTGCGTAGCTCAACACACCAGTCCTAACTAGCCGCAAGCTCTCTTTCGTCGCCTCGTCAATGTTCTCCTCAGGAAGACCCAACGCCGCGTTCGCCAACCCATGCCTAGAATGGTCCCCCTCGCCAGTCGGGAAGAACACGCGGGTGTAAAGCTGCCGCACGAAAGCAGCCATGTCGCCCTTCTTCATTGCCTCCACACTCTCCTTATACCGCGTCTCCGACTTGACATACGCGACTGTCCAGTCCTTATCAGAGGTCCCCGTGACGCGTTTAGCTGATTCAAACATGTCCTTCTGGCTGACGTTGAAACTGGAGATGTAGGCAACCTTGTTGGCCCACATGTCAACAGTCGGGGCGTTGTCATTTTCGTTGTCAGGAAGCCTCTTGAGACTGAGTAAGCTCGCCAGAGCCCGACCACACTGCTCCCAAGTCGAGGTTGTTACGACCTCCTTCCCGTCGTCGAAGAATGTTACGGTGCGCGAATCAAAGTCAATTCCGAAACGGTCATAGCCCTCACAGGCGACTGACCACTCGTACCAGAAGCCAGTAGACAGCGCAATCCAGCTGCTGACGCCCAACTTTTCAACAACATCCCTTGTAGATGTGAAAGTGTCGCCGACCAGATTGGCGTTGAGCGGGTCTGGGCCATAAGCGTTGGGCATAACATAAGGCACGCCAGCTGTCGCAGCTGCATTGACGAGTTTGGCCTCTGCGTTGCTGCCGTCCAGTCTGGCACCAATTCCGAGGGTGATGACGAGGAAGTCCTGGCCTTTGAGAGCCTCCACGAGAGTAGATTCGTTGTTGTAGTCGATGGTGACCCGATGCACTCCTTCCGCTAGCTTTGCCGAGCTCCCAGCACGCGCCAATGCGGTGACCTGATGCTTTCCGGTCGCGAGAAGCGATTTGGTGAAGTAAGAGCCAATACTACCGCCAGCCTGGATAATAATAGCATCGAGACAGCGACAGAAAAGAAGAACAAAGTGCTGACCCCAACGATGGCGACTTTCTCAACACGATTAACGAATCCAGTCGGCTGGTCTTTGGCGAATTTGGGAGACATGTTGTGTTTAGTGAATGAGTTAGCCTCACGAGCGTGAGGGCTTTAAAGCAGTTTTCGTCCGGTTAAACGGGGGAGGGATACATCCGTCTCAGACCGAGGAAAAGAGAGGACCCGCCCGTGGCGCTGAGACAGTTGCTCAGCCTGTCAGATGCTGATTCATCGTGTTAACGAGGTCGAGGGTGAAGCGCAATATCAAGTTAGGATATGCCGGAGCGCAAGGAATATGCTGTGCTGAACCAAATGCGACCAATCGAAACTTGCGGACGGACGGAAGAAGAGCAGAAGGCGAAGTCGATGTCACGATTTGTCACCTCAAGGTCCCACACGGAAATCTCGCCCATTTCATAGCGGCGGAACGTGATCGTGACGCGGAAAAGGACCCAGGCTGTGTCGCATGCTCCGAATTCGCAGTAGTTGGACCCTGCGCATCTCGAGAAAGAGTGGGTGGAAGACAGAAGCAAAAGAAATCTGATCACATGTCCACTTCTCACGATTTGCACATCCTCTAGATCTGTCTAAGAAACTGGCGACAGTTTGTGATTCAAACTGTAGATACCATAGACGTCTAGTTATGCGTTTTACAAAGGAACAACCGCAACGGTAATGTCATCCAAACGTCCATTGAAGGTACCCAAAAGCCAGCCCTCAGAAATGTTTCCAATAGCGTCACCTCCCGTGGCTTCCCAAAGAACCGCTTCCGCTAAATTGTCCCCAGCTAACTGAGCCTTGGCAACAGCAGGCGCAAGACTCACACCGAGAACCGACTGCTCCACCTCCCGAAGGTGCTGATGTCGCCGCATGAGATTATCGAGACCGTCTGTCGCGACGATGAGGAATTGTTGTCCAGGAAGCTTGGTATGTACGACATCCGGTATGTTGGAAAGGTAGGGCGGTGTTTTGATTTGCGATAAATCGGGAACCGTGCTTTGTCCCCATCCCAGCTCGAGAACCCTGACAAATTCCCTCGGGATTTTCCCGTAGATGTCTCCGATTGCTGCAGAAAACAAGATAAGGGAAAAAAATACCACGATGGGACCAACACATACCGCGACTCAGAACCAGCATGCTAAGGAGTCGAGGAACTCCGGACCGATGGTTCATGTCAACGCATTCTGGGTCGTTGGGGTGTTCCGCCATAATGCGGGCATATTCGTCTGGGTTAGAGCACTGATGATGAGTATTCGGAACGGAGCAAGTCCATTCTTCTGAGTCGGATGAGCAAAGAACTGTCGTTAGCATTGTTAGACCATTTCACGAGAATCAGGAAATTTTCACATACAGACATCACAGTCTCCTACACTTGCGACATGAATGCGCTTGCGAGGGTCGATAAGAGCGACAGCAACAGTGGTTCCAGTCATAGCGCGCTGAACTTCAATAAGAGGCTTGCCGTCCGCATCTTTCAAGGCCGTGGCCGCGTCAAAATCCGTGAGGTCGGCTGGGAGAAGGGCAAGAAAATCGTCTTTTATTTTGTTGTCCAAGGAGATCAAGCTTTCCGAAAGAGCTTTCGCAATGTCTTGGTCCTCCAATGGGTCTGAGCTCTCTATTACGGACTCCAGAGCCCGTTTGATCGTCGAGGGAAGCATCTCGAGCATGAATTCTGCCGAAGCGCATTCAAGATGACCTAGAGAATGAGATGCATTGGGCAGGCAACTTGAATGACCAGCGGAGTTGGCTCACCATCCAGAACCAAAACCAATGTCCAAACCCCATCCTTCATCTCCCACCGCTCTCCCGTATGTCGATCCTGAGTCTTGGGAACCTTCTCATCAAGGCCGCGATTCAGCCCCGGCAAAGAAACGAAATTGACTCCGCCAATGGTCCCAGGGGATGCAGCCAAACCGAGCAGAGCGCGTGGAGTCTCTTTCGTGGTGACATCCATTGCACTCGCTCGTCAGGAGCCAGGAGGCAGCTTTTGTGTGTCCAACATGAGGTCAAGAGAGTAAAGAGACACGTCACAGAACGGGCCGGTCGCCGGCGTCATGTCAGCAACAATGCCTTCACCTTCACCTGGCACGTTGTCTTCAGCTTCAATACCCATTCCCCTTGAAATAATACAACACATACTCTGTTTCTGTGACCGGCAAACACTACATGCGGCATCACTCGTCGCCCACCACTTCCTCGACGCCAGCCAGCGTGAATTGTTCTCTGAATTGAAACTACGACGGGCGTCTGCAGTAGAGCTCAAGCGCCTCTCCTCCGTCTTAGTGAACTCTCCTCACATTGCTAGCTATGTCCGCGTGCTTTCGCTTTCACTCGACCTGGATCATTTCACGGAGATCTCCCTCATCCTCCAAGCCCTCACTAGCCTAACGGCAATATCGCTCAACTGGCACGGGTCCAACTGGGAAACGCTGGATGAGCGCGAGAAAGTGGCGACAATTACTGTCCTCGGTCGGTCTACTCTGACCATCGTCACCGTCACCAGCCTCCGCTTTAAGACTGCTTCGGCATTGGTATCAATGCTTTGCTCACTGGGGCCAAATGTGCAGAGCCTTTCTCTCATCCGGGTTCAACAAGAGAATGAGACTTCGCCTGCAACAAGCCTCAGTACTGCTCCCAAGGATCATAATTCTCTTGCACCTCTGACATCTCAATTTCGGCCCGGGATTTCGACTCTTAAACTCCCCAACGGTATACCGCATGGATTCCTGTTGTGGTTAAGGAACCACGCAGACCCCTCCCATATTCAGACACTCGTAGTACCACTCTGGAGCCAAATAGATGGCTCGTTCCAGCAACTTCTTCGTGCTACTGTCAATCTTCAACATCTTACACTCTCAACCAACCGTCTCAGTGTTTTGTGGCGTAGGGCAGCTTTCATATGACACCTCTTTTCACTCATCAGCTATTTTGCAGCCACGGCTGGGGCCAACCTCAACAATGTTTCACGGCTTGCCTCACTCACATTTGAAAGCCGGTTCGATGAGATTGAAGAGAAAGAGGGTGGGCTCCCAGTTTACAACCCACTGGTGGACCTCTGCAGTCTTCTCCGGCGCACACACACTCTTCCCCAGCTCACCAAACTCACCGTGAGAATGGTGTATGCCTGCACTGATCCGATGTGGTATTTCCACCAGCCCGGCGCTGATTTAAACTCCCTTCTGTCAGAGCCCGTCGCGAGCCATATCAAAAGTGTATTGATCGTGTACGAGTGGTCGCTGGGCAGTGGGGCCAAGCCGCAGGATGATATCTACAATAAGGACGCGCTGCGCAAGGACTTTGCGGAATTTCTCCAGCGTGGGACACTGTCCTTTGGAGAGCCTTAGAGTTCAAGTTGTCACTGGCACACTAAGTACTGTTGAATAGGATTACTTATTTTTTGGCTTCTTTGTTACTGCACATCTTGTAGCAGTGCAATCAGAGATGCTACTAAGGTGTCTAAAGAGTCTTATCCTGAAGCTAGAAAAATCTACACAAGTGCAGTATACAATCATCAAGGTTGTTAGACTTGTGCATTGCTACACTTAGCGGCATGCCCACCCGTAACACAGCTTGTTTTGTGAAAATTGATCGCGTCACAAATCTTGATATATGTCACGTATCCCATCAAAAACTTGTTCGCGACTCATCTCGACAACGGCTCCATATTTCTCGACGATTCTTTCACCTCTGGCATGGTGAGAAGGGGAGCAATTAGAAGTGAGACCCCAGCGTAGCCTCACTTCTAATTAGAAGAGATATGTGGGATTAACAGGTGTCGGAAACACCGGCAGATTGTTCAGGAGGTCTTATGGCGACTCCGAGAACACAAGCTGTACCTTTGAACGGAGAAGTGCGACTTTGAAAAATCGTCAATCGAGTACCTTGGAGTCATCATCTCTCTCACAACCACGTCGAAATGGACCCCGTCAAGGTCGCAGGTGTCTCTGCTTGGCCGACTCTGGAAAACAAAAAGGATGTCCAGCTGTTTCTCGTGTTTGCTAACTTCTACCACATGTTTATTCGGGATTTCTCGGCCCTTGCACGACTGCTCTTTGCACTCACCAAGAAGGACCAGAAGTGGACTTGGGGTGACGCAGAGGCCTTGGCATTCTAAGAGATCAAGGATGTGATTACCTCAGAACCAGTATTGGCGATTCCAGACAATGCATGGCCTTTCCGACTTGAGGCAGACAGCCCTGATTATGTGACAGGGGCGGTTCTTTCACAATCCGCCCCGGACGGGAAGTGGCACCCTGTAGCATTCTATTCCAAAAGCTTAAATGATGTCCGGCGCAACTACGAAATCCACGACAAGGAGATGCTCGTGATCATCCACGCACTCGAGGGCGCCGCGCACCCTGTCGAGATTTGGACTGACCATAAGAATCTGGAGTACTTCAAGAAGACGCAGCACCTCAACCGGAGACAGGCCCGGTGGTCACTTTATCTCTCCCGGTTCAACTTCACGCTGCACCATAAGCCCGGCCGCGATATAGATTGACCTGACGCCCTCTCTCGGAGACCCGATCACGGAGTCGATTCTGACAACTCCAATGTTGTGACCCGAGCTCTTCCATGTCCACGCACTTGGAGGTGTTTCCATTTCTGGTCCTGGTTCCAAACTCCTTCGCGACATCCGTGATGCCCTCTCCGGTGAGCCTGACTTGGAGGAGCCCATTGCACTAGCAGCCTGTAATAGCGAGGACGTGGCGGCTGCGCTCATGTCAGGGTTCGGGTCGGGCCAACGGGGCCCTATACGGCCCATCGGGCCCTCACCACCCTTAGAGCCCTAGGGCTTGACAAGCCCTCATAATTCACAAGCTCAAAGCAATGAGCAACAACACTAATATCCCAGAGAAGGGACATAATCACGGATCACGCTTTAGTCAACCATCAAGCCATCATGACCCGCCATCAGGGATCATGATGCGCCGCCGGACGCCCTTGACAGCGGGCCCAATCGGCCCCAGACAACCACAGGGATCAGGAGGGAGCTCCTTACTGTTGCATTGCCAAACACTCCTTAGTGTCGACTTTGGCATGGCTCCTTTCCAGAGGAATGGGGTGTGTGTATGGTACATTGATTTTGATATCAGTCTACATTTATAAAAGTGATCTGTATGCTAATATGATGCAGATTGAGAATACTGTCACTGAGCTTTCAGTTTCTTGTTTTTTGTCCCATATTTATTAGGTTTTTGAAAATGTACCCATTTTTTCTAATAGCATGAAAGTGAGAAGCACAAGTTTTTTCAATTGATACAAACTCCCTGTAGATACTATATCCAGCCTTATATTAGATATGGAGCTGTTCAGCCAAGTCACATCAGGTTTCCCATAAAAGTGGTGGCCCAAAGCAGGATTTATTTGTGAGAAAGTCAGCTGTGTTGCTTAGTCATCTGTCTAAAACAGGTGGCGACTAGACTGCACTATAGGTTAAGGATAAGAATGATAACATTATAAGAGTGTCCCAGAATTAGATGAGTGTAGGCTGGTTCAATAATATGTTAATCTTTCCTGTCTTTAGCCCGGTGATTTCATGTTGAGCATTCTTGACTGCTGGTCTGAGTCTTCAAGTTTTTGGTCATGTAACAGCAGTCTATAAGACTTGTGTATTACTTCTATCGGTAGTGGCGGCAAAGCACCAGTCCCTGACTCTGATGCCCCAAGTTGTCTCAGATGACAATTCGATGACAAACCACAAAACCCCAAACACAAGTAAAATAAATGTCGTAGTCACTGCATCATCTGAATTGATTGCAACCTCGGACGCAAATTTGACTTGCAATCATACTTGTGGGAAAGCTCACCGATCGCATGGAAACGAGTTTGGCGGGGCAATTACTTAATCAAGACAAAACCCTCTTCTCTCTTTCAGAGAGAGTCGGGGATGGTTACACCTGCTGGTGTGTGTGCCCATCGGTAACACAGCTTGTCTTGTGTAAATTGATTGTGTCACAAATATTGATATAGGTCACACATCCCATCACACATCATCAAAAAAGTTGTTGGTGATTCATCTCAATAACGGCTGCATATTTCTGGATGATTCTTTCACCTCTAGGATGGTGGGAACATCTTCTTATGGAGCAAGGAGCAAATCTTGAAAAGAGAGTCCTTTCGTCATGGAATGTCAGATACTGGATTCACCGTCTCTACTATGTACTACATCATGATACTCAAGGCCATTACTTGAAACCTACTGGAGCCACCCGAGTTTCAAAGCCCTCATATACCAAGCAGCACGAGAAAAGTGATGAGGGAGATAGAACAAGTTCTCCGCTGCCATTACCTCAGCAGGCTCGCACACGGCGCTCTTGCAATGCTCACATTCCCCATTCATCTTGAGCTTACCTAAGCGCGCACCAGACTTGGATAACTTTGCAGATGTCCCATACGATGTCCATTGTGGTTTGTCTCCAGCCTCTCCGCGACAGCTACGGAAAAAGAGTTTTGGCTGGCCTATCCAAAAGAATAAGTATTTTATTAGCTAATTAGCAAGGACAACTTACGTTTCACAAGCCAACCTTCCAATTTTGTTCTCGTTGCAGCCTCCCAGGCCCTCCGCTTGTTCTTCAGTGGCTCAAAATATGCTGGAGTTTTGGAAATCGGAGAACGAGATTGGCTATGGAGGATTCGGTCAACAGCAAGGGTGAGAAGTCGACGAGGGGAGGTGAAAGACTGATTTGTGTAGACCATAGCATTGGCAAAGGTATCAGACCCCCCAACAATTGCATTGAAGTCGCCATCTTGAGGCAAGGCCAACTTTAATGCTTCAAGCTGTCCCTCCATACCAAATATCTCCCCCACAGTAAAACGTTTTAAGCTGTCGTCCAGATCGGTGACTTGGAGACCAAGCTGCGGCAAGAATTCTTCGACATCGTGAACATACAGACTTCGCTCCAGCTTAGGACAGATCGCCATATCGATTCGACAGCTTGACGCTCCACATTCGTGCGTGATATAGTTGGTATCAGCTGCAAGCAGTGTTTTACAGCTGTTGCAGATTCCGAAACGCGAACACTCTTCCAATTTGTTGGTAGGCTTGTCTGTTGATAACGTGGAAGTAAAGGTGACTAAGTTTTTGAGGTGTCGTAAACGTTTCGGCGCCTCGTCTTCCTTGCTGGTTGCATCAGGACGATACACAGCAATATTCTCGCGGCTCTTTTGGGAAGCAGCTGCTGCCTCAGCCGTTTTCCCGTTCGCGTTGGCGGAATATCTTATCTGTACGCCTTCCTTCAACTTCACAAACTGCTGATACCACCGTTCGGACCCGATCTCCATTCCATAAGATTCCACTTGATAGGGATCGTGCGAGAGGCCATACGACTTCAAGTGCTCAGCAAGTTTCATAAGCCATTTGGCTTGGTCAACCCGTGCTTCGCCAAGAGGAGCTGCCAGGAGACCACTGCGGCGTGTGATAGGCCCAATCTGTGGCCGAGGTTGTTCCTCCTCCAGTCGCAGTTGATGTTGCCAGTAGGAGGCTGATAGTGAGGACAGGAAGTCATGCGTGAACATGAGCTCTCGTGCATGCTCTTTCGCAACTTCCAGTGCTGCGTACACATCTTCGAGATATGTATTGGCCTCTGCAACAGTTGCCTCTAACCATCTTCTCGTCTTGGTTTCGTCCTCCCAATCATCCTTCGACATTGGACAGGTCTCGAGTCGAAATGCAATAATGCGTTTGAAGACAAATATGATGATCTCCAAAATATAGAACAGGATAAACTGAGGTAGAGCTCGTTGGGGGGTATATTTGGGGGCTCCGTAGTCGGGAAGCGCAATATGGATTGTTAACTGAGCGCCAGGACCAATGGGCAAGATAGTAGGGATTCCTACTACTCTGAAGAACTCGTCACCCTGGAAACGTTGTGCTGAGATTTGCCGAAGTTGGTGAACGAAATCAGCCGTAGTTTCACCATTGGCAAAATCAGCATTTCCCTGATATAGCTCTGCACGTGGTTGAGCAAGAAAACCAGTATGAAAAATCTTTGCAACGGGATTCGACTGGGTGACCACCAAGATAGGACGAACAATGTTGAGAATTCGCGTCAGGAATAAGAGGAAAAGCCACCAAAAAGGCGGGCAGAGGACTTCAATAAACCTCCAAAAGTCAATGAAGGCGCCATGGAAGAAGGCGAGCACTTGGACAGTGAGGTTGCCAGTTAGAGGAATTGACGGATCAACGAGTGTCTGAACGTAGCGGTCTGCCATAGGGCCAATACCCGTAGCTTCATCAAAATAGCCGCCTAGTCGGCCTGAAAATCCGTCGCGGGGTATGTCCTTTGTGACGTTCAATACTACAACACGACCATCCTTCTGGCGCAGAGCACCAAGTCCGACATCCTTGGTATATCTGATATACCTTTCGCTGGGCTCCTTCTCAGGCGAAATGCGCTTGAAGTGGCTGATTTTCGTCATCTATAAGATGACCAAGAGCTGTCTGAATGTGGGGGACTTCTTCTTGACCCAGTGGGAAAGGCGTTGAAGGCAATAGCGAGAAGACATGATCACGTAGGGCGACAAGTTCGGGATGGGGTTCATAGGTCGGCTTAGCACCACCAAGGGCAGAGTTTAGAGATAGCTCGCCCAATAGTGCAATGAGGATACGCTCTCGATTGCCCAAGTCTTTGTTGGTGCGAGTCTCCAGGCTTGAGGTAATTGGGACAGCAAGGTTAACCACTCTGTACGTCTTCACATCTGAAGAGGAGATGTTGTTTGCGTTGCAAAAGTTGGTGAACCTGCATGGAATGCCACCCTTCAGATCATTGACAACGCGCTGAGCTGGGTCTTCTGTGGTCATGCCCGCGTACAGAAGACAGCTAGGCTCTGACGAAGAGGAGGGTGTAGAATTATGAAGGATTGTTGTCTTAGGCGCTTCAGCAATGATGTCGCAGAGTTTGTTGGCTACTGTCTCCAGACCAAGAGGGCTCCAACCATGTTCGATAGCCTCCCGAAAACTTTCAGGACCATGTCCAAGCACGGTGAGCTTGGTCAGCGAGTTGGGGGCTTCCTGAGGGTGAAGGGACAGAGTCTTCGTTATAGCAGTGGCAATGGCCTGTCTGCCCTTGATAGGCACAAAGCGCAGATAGAATTGGCAGTGCTTGGCCTCCTCCTCCTCCTCCTCCTCCATATCGCCTGTGCATAGCTCCAATACACCATTTGCCACAAAGGGCTTGGGATCAAAGCATCCGCTGAGAGAGTACTGCACGAGTGCGACCGCAAGATCGAGTGGTACATCTTGCCAAGCCGGCGAGGTTGTGGGAATGACGATTTGTGAATGAGACTCGATCCAGCAGTGAGCAATCTTCTGCACATCGGCCAACGTTGTAAAGCTTTGAGTGCTGGCGATTGCCCGTTGCCGAAGTTGCTTCCGCCTCCAGACGGTTACGAGTTTCATGAATGAGAACCGGGGCCACACGAGGTGCAAGTTCGCGTCCTTTCTGACGTAGCTTTTCCAACTCTTGCTGGGGATCGTATTTCTCTTGTCGCTTAGCGCGGCGTTCAGTAGCAGCGTCCAAGGCAGCTTTTGAGGGGAGATTGGCGTGTTTTGCCTCAGCTGCTTCCTGTTTCGCCTTCTGAGGATGCATAAGACCACCAGATATACGGAAAGAGAGGCCAACTACCTTTGTTGGTAGTGTTGGTGGTTTCCCCACTTTCTTGACATGCTCAGTCGAACTCTGATTAAGTCAGTGATAACTCAAGTAAAAGTGTAAGGCCACGCACATTGGGTAGACTCTTTTCTCTATTAACATCCACTAGCTTCGGCTTCTTATTTGTTACAGGCTGCCAGGAAAGTCAGTTTTATGCAAGACAGAAGCAGTCAACAGACTTCAGTAGTGCTGGAAGAGCTCTGAAAAAGATAGTTAGCTTGACGCGTGGAAAAAGGAGCAACATGTTCATACCTTGCGTTTATTAACATTTTCCATTGATTATATTTGTATTATGTCGAGACGGGGTAAAGGCACGACGTCCAGCGCGCTATCCAGGTATGTCGAGTACAGAAAAGAGGCAAGCCTTGAAACCATCTGTCGTCACGATGGTCACACATTTCTGCTTCAGACAGAGGGCTTGATATCCGCCTTCAATGACGCAACTACTGCCTGCCTGTGCTAGCTGTGCCGTTGTCACCAGGCGTCCACACAAGACGTCCCCAGACCAGGTACAAGTGAGGTTTGTGCAACCAACACAGAGAGCAGCAGGCAAAATGCAGTAATACAGTATATGTCAGATGGCAAGAGCGAACTTGACCATCGACGGAAGGCGGACACAAACTGCCCTCTAATTCACAGAAATGAGCAACTATGGTTTCTTTGGTGAGTTGGATGCCTCCAGCAAAGGATTCACCCACCTTGTGGATAAGCTGAGAGCCCAAATGAAGAGTGCCATCCAGCTAGAACGTGCTCGTTTGAGTTGCAGGTCAGATGACGAAAGCAGAGAGGGTGGTACCAAAGTAAATTGGATTCTCACAGGTGCATTACTTTTAGATACAGGGTACGCAAGTGAGCTGCAAAAAGATAAGCCCTTGATTTCGGCCAGAGGGAGAACGCACCAAATAAGTAGTATTGCGGACCAGAGTTGTCAAGCCGAATGGTGGCGAACCCAGAGACTGGCCGTGAGGAATCTCGAAGGTGTTGACTCGACACTCGTTCCAACATTTCGCCTTTTCTTCCACGCAACCCGTAGATCACGTGCCCATCCGCGGCTTCTTTGGCGTCGCCGTCGCCGTCGCCGCCGTTCCACGTGTCCTGTCGTTGAGGACTGACAGTGCTTCTTTGACGTTCAGTCGTCGGAGGTGCCAAGATGTCGGAGCGGGAATCGTCGGAGGCAATTTTAGAGGACTGTGCGGAGATGAGTCAGTCAAAGGCCATCGCCATCAGAAAGAAAAGGGGGCATACCGCGGTGGAAGACCAGAAGAAGGTTGAAATTGCGTCCAACTTGGGGGAGTATGGGGCCCAGCGGTCGGCTTGTGCACTGTTTGGCGGGGCCTACGAAAGAGTGTGCAGGTTGGGGCAGCAATGGGGCTGAGGATGATGCTGTGGTAGCGAGGATTATGTTGGTGTCGTCAGTGGGGAAGTGGTCGAGGCCGTCCGGCCCTTGGTTCACCGTCGCCGAGCACGACAGACGAGGAGGGGATGGGGAAGCTGATGCGGCCGAATATGGCAAGCACCAGGTTTTTCAGAGTGGCAGAATGCGCCACTCGCTACCTGGCAACTTGAATACTGCCGTTGTCTTCGACATCGTCAGTTCACCGTCACGCTGCTGTTTTGCCTAAGCTGACCTGGTGCCGGTGGTTGAAGTCAGCGCCGAGCCCCTCATCCCTCGCGCTTGCCCGCATTGTTATCAGCGTGCCTGCTGCCCAAGGTTCTTCTACAGAGTTGTGGATTCGGCAGGGCCTGCGGCGTGAGAGCTCGCGCAGGAGCCTGGAGGTTGCGGGAGACCGGGGGCTGCATCGAGCAAGTGAGAGCCTGGGTGATGGATGTTGGTGCAGTCAGCACACGGCACGATACCGCCGACAACCGCTGAATGAGGGAGTAGTGTCGAGCCAGTGTGGTCAAGACGAAGTGGCTGGTCGTCAAGCAGATTGATGTCAAGATGTCGTGCCAAGAGCGACGCTCAATCACCCGGCGCGTTGACGGTTGGAGAATGGTACCTGCTCCGACGCAAATTCTTCGAAAGGATGGCCATTTCCTAGAGGCAGCATCAGCCAAGCATCTAAATGCTAACATTAATGTCGACACTCACCATGTTGACCAAACCGGGCGAGAAGTGGGGTCCACTGCAACGGCGCGGGGCCAAACTGCTCTTCCGTGTTTAGAGACGGCTCTTCCGAGACGTCGTTCGTGCTTCGTTCGGTCGCTGGACGCAGACTGGAGGACCCAGCAAGGGCTCCATGAAGGTTCTTCCCTAGAATTGAATCAGCGGCTGGACTCGCGAGGATTCAAGTTTTCAAACCCACACTAAGCCTGCGTGAGAGCCACCCAAAGTTGGTTGCCGTTCGGTCCATTCAACGGGGCAGCAGTATGGCCGGCCGCAGGGTATAATGGTGGTGGACAACTGCGACAAAGCTGGCATGTGACTCACGTGCACAGGTTTGGACCTCAGCGCTCAGCCGCGCATCTGGAATTATTAAAGGGCGCGGAATTCAAGTTCACGCGCCGTTTGCGACCACCGGGATGGGATCACCACATCCTCGCGAAGCCGCGAGGATGGTACTAGTAGAAAAGGCATAGTACACGGGCGGCCGCGAGTTGGCCCTTGGGCCGGCTACTGGTACGCGTACGCTCGGCGCGGGGCTGAGGGGCCCCGGTGAGCTACAAGTCAGAGCATTGGCGAGGTACCTGGGGGTATGGAACGTCGACCGCAATGACCGCATGTTGGAGACGGAGCGATGCGTCGCCGGCCCGCGAGGTCAACGCGAGGCGGGAAAAAGGGGAGGGAGGCCGTGCGGTGGCGCATATCATGACCGATTGAGCGCCCGGGCCGGAGCCGCGGCCAACCGTGACGCCTGGGGTCAGTCCGCAGACTGTGGGGGCAATGCAATATTGTAAGATCAAGTCCAGCTTACCTAATCGCCTGCAATGCTTTCGATTACTTAATCTGAGAGTCACGAGTGTGACGTGAGTCAAGTGAATGATCATCTGTTCAAATGACCAAGGCCTGGCTATGTCTGCTGTAAATCAGCGCTAGCTCTACCATTGCATGCCCTATGGCATTACTGCTGGCGGGATCTCCGATGTCAACGGACTCCTTTGGTCATGTGATGGCTGGTCTTGTCACGTACACTAGGTCGCACCCGGTGGTATCAGCAAGATGGCCGAGTGGTTAAGGCGCTAGTTTCAGGACGCAATCCTCCATACTAGTCTTTCGGGGCGTGGGTTCGAATCCCACTCTTGTCACGTTTTGCTCCTCTGCGGCTTCTGAGATACTTTTTCCCACTAGCGGCTGAGATGAGCCGAGTGGTCTAAGGCGCTAGTTTCAGGCTAGGGATCTTCTGGTCCCGTCCCATACGAATATTCCTTCGTATACTAGTCTTTCGAGGCGTGGGTTCGAATCCCACTCTTGTCATGATGTTTTGCTGCGTTCAGCCGCGACAGGCGTCCATGCATCCCTCGGGTTTTTTTCTCTTCTTACACCTCCTTCATTTAAACTCCCATCGTTCAGAACATCCACGTGACATTACTGTAAACCTTCCTGTTCAATTACCTGATGATCTTCTTCCCATGGTGGCATAGTGTTCTTTCTTACACTTCAAAGCATAATAAACACTCAATCCCCAACAGTTCGAGTCGCTAATGCATGTGGTATATATTTCTCCCGAGCTTACGTTCGAGTTTTATCCTTAACGACGCTCTTTTACCAGTATACAAATCATTGTTCATATGGGATCGTTACCTGGTCGCGGGTATCTCTCTCAAAGCCCCCGCCACATAGGCCATCGACCCCAGAAATGGCAAGGTGAAGTCGTTAATGGGATGTGGAATATCTCTATCGAGTTTACGTCCGTACCCTTAACACCGCCCCTTCACTCTCCTCATGACACACGGGACACCCCTGGTCCAACTTCGCCCGAACAACAGCCTCACTAAACGGAACCGTCAGCACACAGAAAAACCCCGGACCTGTTTACGACTTACAAAGCAATCTTGCCATTGATGCCCCGCGCCACGCTGTACGGCGACGAGTCGGCCATTCCAGCCCCACGTAAAACAGGATCGGGCTGTGGTGGTAGCCGGTCACCCCCGCTTGTGCAAGAGGCGTGGACGACATGGCGACACAAGAACAATATCACCAGCCGTTGATGCGTCTCGACCAATGGTTGGGTACACATTGGGCAAATCGACTTGCCTAAGAATCACGGTCAGTATATCCCAAACGAGAACTAAGGGCGAAACGAACCAGTCAGTAAGAACCCCGCCGATTGGTCCTTCTGCAGTTTCCTGGCGTAATCCGAGCTATCGCCGTTCATGATGGTCTGACAACCCTCGAGTAGAGATATTTGCAAGTGGAAGTCCTGCAGAATCTTGACTAGCGAAGCTTGCAGCCCGGGAATTTCGAGTCCGTTCTTGATGCGGCGGATCAGCCTGATCGGACTGATTTCCGCTCCGACATTCTCGAGCAGCCCACGAATGAAGGCGGGCCTTGTTTCCGAGTACCTCAACAGATCCTCCCATAAGTCGTCGTCGTTCTGCTCTTTCGCAAAGTCGATCGCCTGTTTACAAGCATGAGCAATAATCAGAAGAAGAAGACACCTAAAACGAACCCGATTCACGTCGCCCAGCCGCTCGATAATCAGCGTCAGCGCCTGCCTGTTATTCCCCATCCGCCCAAGCAGGAAAACCATCTCAGGAACAAGGCTCCGCTCCTCACAGACTCTGTACGCGTTCTCGAGGTTATACTCGTTACTCGCCCGCAGGAAGTCGATCAAGCGGGGAGTCGCGAACTCGGCATAGAGCTTGACCTGAACATCGGCAAACTCCGATACCATGTGCGACTCCTTTTCCATGAGCGCATCTAAGTAGAGGAACAGAAAATATGGTCGGGATTGGAGTTGAGCGACGACACGGCCGATCTGAACTTGGTGGTTGCCATTTGCGTAGCAGAAAAACGAGTCAAGACTCACTGGAATCGCATGTATGTGGTCCACCAGCAGCTGGATTGCCTCACTCTTCTCCGTCGACTTCTCCTGTCCTTCAGGCTTCCGCTTCTCCATCAACTCGTGGTCGAATTCGACGAGCTGGAGTGCCTGGTCTTGCACGTCCGTAAACAGGTTGTTCTCCCTGATAAGTTCGAACACATTCGGCCGTCGTAGTCGCAAAAGATAAGTCAGTGCTTTGCCCGGTTGACGATTAGCAACGTAGAGTTCCGCAAGACACTCCATAAGCGTGGTCTTGTCTGCAGAAATTGCCGCAATATCCAGATTTGACGTCGAAGCAGTGCGGTCAAGTTCAGCAAGAACCGCCACAATAACCGCGGAAATATCGTAGATGTCTTTTGGCCACTCCTTAATTGTCTGCAAGAGGCTCGTTCGGTCGTGTGACAGGAAATGCGCCAGTATCATTTCGTAGATGAGATGGTCAAGACGGGGAGAGTCAGTTGGCACATATGGAATGATTGCCTGTACGACTTTAGTGTCAGAATCGGACGGAAGAAGACAAGACAGACCTGCATTTGCCTCTTCTGCTGGAAAAGGAATATCCAGTTTTCCCACCTGTTTACATCCCGTCCACAAACTTTCGGAGTTAACCGGGCTGCAGCAGCGAAGTTACCGTCGTTGACGAGGTGCTCGATGTATCTCTGGCCAATCTCGACTGCACTGACGGCATCGCTTCCACCATCAGCTCCCGTTTCCGCCTCGAGTCGCTCAACTTCGCTCAGTGCCTCTTCGTACCGCTTTCTTTCGACCAACCACGCAATGTGGTCTCGCCTGTCCCGCCGGCGGACGACAACGATGTCCCTAGGAGAAAGAACAACATAGGTTCTATTCTCAGCGTCGTCTGTCGCACTCGCCTCGGCCAGCACGTAGTCGTTGCAGCCCCAGTCCTCATAACCCGAGACACTAAGAGCATCAGCTGCCAACTCTGCTCCCCCAGGCGAAATTATTCGCAATTCCGGACGTTCCGCCAACTTCCGAGCTTGTTGGGCCCGATCTGGGACGGGTTCGTCGGAGAAAATGGACATGTCGGGAGGGGTATACGCGAGGAGGAGGTAATGCGTCTGCGTCTGGGTTTGTGGATGAGCAGGGTTTGCCGATGATATTGACGGGGTTGGGGAGGAGATATTCATAGAGTGTGGATGTGGCACAAGACCGGCAATCATGCAGTCGACTTTGAGCACCAGAGTGATTTCCACTAATAGCGGGGGAAGTCCCGCTGATGCAGCCGAACTTGTTTGGGTCCTTGGCCGCGCCCTGACCCTCGCGACTTTGATATGGTCCGCCCAAGCAATCAAAAGTGTCGAATCGTCTTGCCAATGGAGAGTGCATTTGAACAAATCCGCCCTTGGGGCTTGACTTGGCCGATCGATGAATGTTATTCGAGTCTGCGAAACCGTGTCGTAGATCTTCACACCCAGATCGTTCGCCCACGCGATAAGTCGTCCGCGCCATTTGACGGCCCATATTGGACCTTCTCCCGTGTGTAGGATGGTATCCTTATGCCCGAGCCAGCCCCGTTCATAGAGAATAAGGTTTCCCGCCATTCCACCACAGACAAACGCGCGAGTACTTCGCTTAGCAAAGTTGGGCTCGAGAGAAATGGCCCGCATTGGTCGTTTGAGATCGAAAGCGAAGGTTTCTGCGGTAGAGTAGACCCTTACTTGACCTTTAAATCGTTGGTTAGTACCGAGTTGAATGATGCTGTCCATAACTCACCATCGAGTGAAGCAGTTGCAACCCACTCCGCAGTCTCGTCCATGCAAATGTCGATTACAGAGGCTACATGGGGTTTAATGCTCCGTATACTCTGCCCAGTCATGTCGAGCATATGGACAAATCCCGCATGTGTCCCCATAGCCATGACACTGTTGGATACCGCCAACGCTGAACCAGAATCTTTCTTGAGGAAATTCGGTATGGAGCCCCCAATGCGTTCATATTTCAGAGCAGGTTCTTCATCTTCATCGTCCGACTCTTCACTCCCATCCGAGCTTTGATCCTCCTCCTCATCTTCTTCTTGGTCCGAGCCCGAAGATTCAATAGAGCCATTCCCCTCACTAACGCTCTTGGCCGTTGCAGTCATGCTGACTGGCGACTCGACAACCGCGTTGTGTTCATCCTTCTCTTCATTCGGCAGAGAAATAGAGAGGGTCCCGTTTGCGTGGGGCCCAGAAGATGCCATGCAGGCATGGGTGAGCGGAGGCGGATGCAAGTCGAAATAAGTAGGGGTCACATGCGTGACTCGCCTTCCTTTTCGGGACCCCACCAAACGCGACGCGTCAGCCCAGCTTCCTCCCAACCACAACCTAGAGCGTCATCATGGAAACATCCTTCGCGATAACGGGCAAGGGCTATGTCATTGTGGCGGCCGACACAACTGCTGCGCGCTCCATTGTCAAGATGAAGACCGACGAGGACAAAATAAAGACTCTAAGTGAGCATCTGGTCATGGCTTATTCCGGCGAACCAGGTAAGTTGGCAGTGGGTCATCTCTTTCAAGCATAACTAGACAACTACTTGCAGGTGACACCCTCCAATTCGCCGAATACGTCTCCCGCAATATCCGTCTCTACGCCATCCGTAATCTCTATGCTCTCCGACCAGCTGCCGCCGCCGCGTGGATCCGCAGAGCACTTGCTACTTCCCTCCGCTCACGGAAGCCGTACTCTGTCAGTCCTCTCCTTTGTCTCCGATATTGCATTAAACGTAATCAGGTCAACCTTCTGCTTGGAGGCTACGACGAGACAGAGCATGCACCAAAGCTCTACTGGGTCGACTACCTTGGCACAATGGACGAGGTCCCGTTCGCCGCGCACGGTTATGGCTCTTATTTTGCGCTGAGTTTGCTCGATCGGTGCGTTGTCTGGTCGTGCATTCCTGCGAAATAATCTTAACCCTCTTGCTAGATACCACGACCCATCTGCGTCACTTGAAGAAGGACTTGCCACCCTCAAACGCTGCATCGACGAAGTTTCCAAGCGTCTTGTGGTCTCGCCCGGCACGTATAAGGTCAAGATCGTCGACAAGGATGGTGTCCGTGAGGTCGAGCTGTAATCAGTTGTACATGCAAAAATGAAAAGGATCATAACATCATTGAGCGTCTTGACAGCTATTTGTTGGCTATTTGAAGACTTCTTCATAGTCCCAGAAATTGCGGATCCCTTTGGACATGTTTTGGTTAGGTTTTGTTTCTTTTCTGACTTGGGATTGTTCAAACAAAATATTCATTGCCTTGCGGCGCTTGCGCGCAAAATGGAATAAGAAAAATATGATTATAAGTGGAAAAATATGATTGTAAGTAAGTATATACTGTACTGTACCCCATGACAAAGTGCTAAGTATAACGGCTTGATTACTGCAAAAATAAGACTATCCTTGAATGACTTGAGTGTTCAATGTCGACTGTACTATACTGTATTCCCAAGAAACAGGATCGGTTTTCGGGTGTCTGAGAAATCAAACAAGAGAAGGCACCTAGAAGCTCTGGCGGTCAAAATCGGCATACGGGTACCTTTCCCTCAGTTTCTCGATGACCCACCAGGCCGGCGTCGCGAAGGAGACATGACGGTTCACGCCGCCCGCATGCAGGACGCCAACCATACGACCCATGCCATCAAATACAAGTGAGCCAGAGTCTCCTTTGGCGGCGAAGGGACCGGATTCGTTGTGGTAGTTCCATATTGCAACCTCGACCGAGTCGACACCAAGCGCTGAGCAGCGATAGGCGCTGAGGCCTGAGCAGCGGCCCACAGTCAGGTCTGAGGTATTCCCGTATTTCATGACAATGAGGCAGGGCTCGCCGTGGCTGTCGACGCTTTCGGGATTGACCAGCTCCTCCTTCGTCACCCAGCCGTTGATACGAAGCTGGCCGTCGAAAGGAAGCTTGAAAGGACTGGAAGCGTTGGCCTGTGGGTAAAACTTCTCGCGGAGCTGGTACAGTGTGTATTTGGCTCCTGGAAGCGAAAATCGGTCAGTGCGCATCAAGGAAACACAGAGCACGGACCCAGGTCTACAACATTGCCTTTGAAGTTGGCCCTAAACCGATGATCATATAGCTCAAAAGTGGCAAGGTCAAGCGTGTAAGCTGAGTCTTCCACAACTTCGACAGAAATGCGCGGGGCCCAGTCGACGCGCCCGATACTACGGCGCATGAGATCGCTCCAGCCCGTGGCGATGCTCTCATAAAACTCCTCCGTTTTGTTCATATCCCGTTTCATCTTCATTAATCTGGTCTCCCTTTCCACCTTCTCCGCTGCCAGCTCCACTGCATCCTCACCTGTCGCGGTCTGCAGCTTCTCCTCCACTCTGGAAATTTCGCGTACCAAGAGTTCAGCGTCAAAAGCGAGCGAGCTCATAGATGCGCGGATCTCGTCGAAACCCCGCTGAAAACGGCGTTTTCCTGCCACGCGCACTCTCCAAGATGGGTAGCCCTTGCCCTTGTACTCGTAGTCGATACTGGTATTTTTACGAAGCACGTGGCAGTTGGTAACGCCGAGAACGCGAGAGCTTGGGCTTCCATCCTTGTGTTTATTCTCGTGGAAAAAGAAGGCTACGCTTCCCTCCTCCTCACGTTCCCTTGTCGCAATAGGCATACCGAGCGCGGTGGTCAAGAAATGCCGCACAAAATAAGTGGGGTCGGAATCGCTGGTAACGGATAGGAGGGGAGGGCAACTCAGCTCCTCTGTAGGGCCCTCATACCATTCAGCCACAACATCGTCAACACCCGAGGCAGTGAAGAACGCAAGAAGAGCGGGTGAGACATCGTGGGCGGTGTCAACGGTGGTAGTGCCTGGGTGTGTGGCGATCCAAAGCACAAGCGGGCCAAACTCTGAATCCTCCTCCTTATCATAAAAGCTGCTTCTCGTACCAAAGCGCGCCACCGTAAAAAACGAGTATTTGACTTTTCGGGCCTTTAGATAGTCGCGAATATGAGGACCGACGGTGTCCCATACGAGGTTGAGGTGTGTGCCAAAAACCCCGTGTACAGTTTTGATGGGGACCTCTGTAAAGCGCCCTTGGGGGATAGTGAATGTGCGGGTGGCAAAGTCGGAGCGGTAGAGTAGCTCAGGCGGATCGGGGGAGATACCGTGGTAGTAGTGGGTCCTTTCCCAGTCAGTAGGCACGTGAGGGGCTCTCATGGCGATGGTCGAGTTGAGAGAGAGTGTGGAAAAGACGGTTGACGTATCCCTTGGAATGGGGGAGGCCAACGCAGTCAATAGGCCTTGACTAGCGAAATTGATACACTCAAGGGTGAAGATAGACAAGTCTGCACGGGGGTGAGTGCGGTATCAACAAAGAGATGAGATAGACTCGCCCCCCAGGAGGTGAGGGTACTTGGTCATCGTTTCAAACACTTGGGCTACGTTGTTATGGACATCTATGGAGGTCGTTAGTGCCAGGGAGAAACCCACGCAGCAAGAAACTCGCGATCACCAACCAGACCAGCGTTCTTGAGGTCTTCAATTGATAGAGCAGCTGCGGATAAGTACGGTCCGTCAGTTCTTAGGCGAACAAGTTGCAGCAGGGCGTTGCTCACGCATGAGCGGTGAGAAAGTTGCAAATGTGGCGGGTGGCTGTGACGTAGATGAAAAATTTTACGTCATCTCCTATGTTGTCGAAGTTCATGATCATCGCTGAGCGCTGAGCGCTGGAGACCGGAGAGCCATGCCAATCCTGTGCAGATTCCCATGGGAATTCCCATGGGAATTTCCTATAGGAAAGGTTTATTTTCCTACAGAAAGGGTTTATTTCCTACAGGATAGTTGTGTTTCCTGTAGGTTTCTTGACTGCAATGGAGAATAATATATATACGGTTCATAAGAAAGGTTCATTCCTACAGGATATATTTCCTGCAGGAAAAAACCCCTGCAGGTCCTATAGGAAACTTGAAAACAATGGGATTTCACTAATAATATAGATTCTGTAGGATGATCAAGAATCCTATAGAATAAATATAGATCCTGCAGTAAGAAGAGAAAGGCTCCTATAGGAAGGTTAAGGAAATAAAGAGGCTAGTAGCATAAATAAGAACTATAATATATATGACGATTCTAGAGGAAAGAATCTGAATACACTCTTTATTGCAATGAGTTTAGCATTTGTCCAGCTTCCTAGCTTAGTTAGATCTTCTGGTGTTGAGATATTTACTGCTCTGTGTTCAATTCTGCTTTCTAGCTTTTTGTCCACTGGCTTACCTATCAAATGTATCCTGCAGGATTAATTCCACTCCAGTTTCCTGTAGGACAGGTTACTTTCCTATAGGATAACTTGAGGTCTTTTCCTATAGGATACTTGAGGTCTTTCCTACAGGATACATTGCTTTCCTATAGGATAACTTGAGCATGTCTTCCTATAGGATATATTGTGTTCCTATAGGATAACTTGAGGGTCTTTCCTATAGGATACATTGCTTTCCTATAGGATAGATCTCCTATGACTTTATTATTTTTACAGAGTCGTTAACTCGTTCTAAAGGAACTGTGACTTCTGTATATGATAACAAGACAAAATTGGCCAAGTCATAATATCCTATAGGAAAAACACCATCATGTGATCAGTACACATTCCTGTAGGAAGCATGAGTTACGTGTCTTGATTCAAAGTTTTCTGTCTGTCTCTCTTAATTTGTGACATATAAACCTTCTCCCCCCCAATATGAGCAGTCCACCACCAGCACTGCTACCAGCTCTTGGCTCCACCTGCCAGAATTGTCATAGAGGCACTATTCTATTCAGCAGACGTGCTTTTGGCAAAAACAATATAGAGCATCATGGTCAATATTATATCAAGGTATGCGACTTTTCATGTTCTAACTTCAAACTCATGTTCCTTCCAATAGTGTTCTAATAATTATTATGACTTTGGAGGTATATTGCCTGTTAGTGGTTGGCTCTCACAAGGAGCTCTGGACGCAAAATGTAATGGGTTTTGGTGGGTGCCAGAGGGTACCCATACTAAGGTGTGCAACCATACTCTTTATTCATTATAAGGTTCTGACATGGGGTAGCCAACAGGTTCTACCGCATGCCAGGGCAGTCACTGCAATGGCAAGGGGGCCAGAAATGCAAGTTGCACTCACTGGCTATGTAAACTCTGCTGTATAGGCTATGCTCAGGCCTATTCTGGGTATCATTGCTGTGCCCTCAGTACACACCATACCTCCTTCCCAATTGCTATTGGCCCTAGGCTTCCAACAACGCCCACAACAGTGCCACTGAGCAGTTTGATGCCATCAACACCTGCATCGATATCCACTCCTGCCGCCAGTACCGACTCTCCCTCCTTGAGTGTTCAGCCAGCTATCCCAGGTGAGTTACATCTTATATAGAAATTCAATATAAACCTCTTTGCAGGTTCAAGTCAAGACATTATATCGAATACCCCTACATCTACTATATCTGCGACACGCTCACTACCCCTTCATGGACATAATCTCTCTCCTTATTGGCGTAGCTTACCCCAAGACTTCATTGAAAACTCTCTATCGAAATCTAAGTCATCTAGTTTGAATTCCTATCCCGAGGGGCAAAATCGAACAATTGAAGTGGCGTGGTACAAGGTATGCCTTTGGCTTCACTCTATATTCATTATGGTCAAGCTAACATTTAATAGAGTTTGGAGGATGATGTCAGGGGAACCTCCCTTTCGGCCCGGAGACGCGTCCGATTCCGGTCCGATTCCGGTTCCGACTCTGGTCCGGCCCTCCATCTCGCCCGCACAATCACCGATCCGTCAACGCCCTCCCGACGGTCGCCCTGGGACCTTGCCTGCGCGACGCCGCCCAAGCATTCTGTGCCCGACAGCGACAGCTACGGACAAGCAGTATATAGTCAGCTCCCTAGCAGGCGGACCCTTAGAGTTTCTTCTCTTTGGATCCTCCCCTGCTAGGTCAGCTTCATTTGTATTCGCTTACCAATGTTCACGCTTTGGATCCTCCCCTGCTAGGACCTTGATCTCAGGCCTCCGGGGTTGCCCTTACATGTCAGGGGAACCTCCCTCTCGGCCCCTCGGAGACGCCTCCGATTCCGGTCCGACTCCGGTTCCGTCTCCGGTCCGGCCCTCCATCTCGCCCGCACAATCACCGATCCGTCAACGCCCTCCCGACGGTCGCCCTGGGACCTCGCCTGCGACGCCGCCCAAGCCTTCTGTGCCCGACAGCGGCAGCTACGGACAAGCAGTATATAGTCAGCTACCTAGCAGGCGGACCCTTAGAGTTTCTTCTCTTTGGATCCTCCCCTGCTAGGTCAGCTTCATTTGTATTCGCTACCAATGTTCACGCTTTGGATCCTCCCCTGCTAGGACCTTGATCTCAGGCCTCCGGGGTTGCCCTTACAGCAGAAGAAACTCTCTACGGGATCAACCGGACAAGATTGCCAGGTTCGGCGCTGACTCAGGCTCGGAGTACGAGTCCGTTCCGCCCTCGTCACCGCCCCTGCCACTTGTCCCCTCCTCCTCTACTCCTGTGGTCCCCGCACCCGTCATGCCGTCCGGAGTCACTCCTACCGCAGACGCCCGGCTGGACTCACTCGAGGCGAAAATCGATAGCCTAACTGAGGCCCTTGCTTTACTCACCAACCAGGCTTCCGCTGCCGCTGCCGCCGCTAATAATGCTGGCGGACCCCAAACACCATCGCCGGAGACGTCGATTCCGACTCTGACTCCGGTCCAGGGCGACTCGAAGCCCTTTTTGGCGACATCAACCTCACCTCAAAATTGGTCTTGCGACCAAACCCCCCGTTCACCTTCAACGGCGACTGGAAAACGGCCGCCGCTGGTTCCTCTACGCGGTCCGCACCTACGCCCGCCTTGCCCCTGAGGCCTTCGTGGTCAACGGAGAGGCGAGCGAGGAAAAGGCTGTCCGCTATGCCATGTCGTTTATGGCAGAAGGACCCGCTCAGCAATGGGTGGAGCGCCACGGAAGCAAAGCCCCGTTTCCGTTTCCGTCCTGGGGCTCATTCGTTTCGAGTTTCGACTCCGGTTCGTCGAGGAGAATGAGCAAGATCACGCTCTCTCCAAGCTGGAGACTTCCGCCTATCACATGGGTACAAAGGATGTCTACCAGTACACCGACGACTTCGAGGACCTGATGGACCTCGCCGGATTGAAGACGCGCTGGTCAAGGTGACCAAGTTCCGCCACGGACTTGACCCCCTGATCAATAACGGAATCACGTCCTCGAACGACCCCCCGGACCTCCGGGATTACCTTAGCTGGCGCACCCGGGCCTTCCGTCAATACGAGGCCCTGGTCCGGGCCAAGCTGATCAAGTCAGCCGCCCCCAAGACGCCTGGCGGTTTGATTCGGACTCCGTTTCCGGTCAACCGCATCCCGGCTCCGGCCCCTTTCTGCCCGGTGGCTCCGGTCGTGCCACCCGCGGCCCCGCGCCCCCGCTCCGGCGCCTCCAGCTCCCGTCCCAATGGAGTTGGATCGCACCAGGGCTCGGGGTGCCCCCGCCGCGCCTGCTTCAGGTGCGGCGACCCAAACCATCTCACCCGGGATTGCCCCTCCCCGCCGATGTCCGCTCGATGGACATCCTCGACGAGGTGATCCAACAACTCGGTGACGAGATGTTAGCGGAGTTGATCGCCCGCTACACGGACACAGCTGCCCTGCCGGAGACGGTAGCGGAGTCGATGGCCGGAGAGGATTTTGTCCCCGCGACGAGTGACTGGTGTGCCCTCGTTCTCGTCTATAAATCGTTTTGCCTCTTTGTATGATGAATGCAGTTCCTTGCCCTACAATGAGCCCCGAAACGAAAGACACACCCTCTCCTGCCCCCCGTCTCGACTCCGTCTCCGACTCCGCCCGCGACTCCGGTCATCGTCCTCCGCCGCCTCACTGCCTGGGAAAAGAAACTGCCCAAGCAGTACACCGTTGCCGCTGCCCCTGGGGCGAACTCCCTCCACCTCCCGTTAGAGCTCGAGTCCACCACCAGGCGCTGAAGCTCTCACTCTCTGGGCTTGTCGACTGTGGTGCCACCTCCGACTTCATTGACACGAACTATGTTGCTCGGAATGGCATTCCGGTCCGCACCCTCGATCAGCCGATTCCGGTTTTCAATGTCGATGGCACCCCCAATGACGCTGGCTCCATCAAACAGATCGCGGACTTGGTCCTGCGCTACAAGGGCCATGCCGAACGAGTTCAGCTGGCCGTCACCCATCTTGGCAAGCAAGACCTCATCCTGGGGTATTCCTGGTTGCGGAAACATAACCCAGAGATCAATTGGGAAACCAAGGAGGTCAAGATGACACGGTGCCCCCGCAATTGCTCGACCTGCCGTGAGGAAGAGCGGGTCGAACGGACCGAGTTGCGGCGACTCCGGTCGCTTCAGAAGCGTCTCCGCTCCGGCCCGTTCCCCTCGGTCTGCGCCATGGACCTTTCTGGGTCTGATGACGGAGACGATTCCGTCTCTCGGTGACGACTCCGGCCTGCCTGATCTGACGTCGGACTCCGACGACGACGACGATGACGATGGTCAGCTTGAAGATGGTGACCGCATCTTCTACACCTCGTTCCGCCCCTCGGAGGAGATACGCGC